CAATTTAATTATATCAACATTTCATGCCGCTGACCAGCAAAAAATATAGCATTCGGTCATAGAAGTATAATTTTAACAATGCAATTGCAGAATCTAGACAGGAACGCAGCACTTTTTAGAAACTACAATGTGTGTTGAAAATATTTATATACTAAACTTGGAAATTTAACTTGGTTAAGCCCTTGCATTAGTGATATTTATATGTAACATCAATACTTCAAGTCAATGTGCTGAAATCGCGTGACTGCCGCATCACGTGACTAGTCTAAATATAAAATATAATCGTCCTCGTATGTTGTTATCAATCATGATTACAATTATCCGATATAAATAATGTACTAAAAATAATCGCCATCCTGATTACGTATACATTTTTAAATAGAAAATTTAGTCGATATTCCCATCGCGCACCTTAACTGTACTGTGAATCCATGTAAGAAATTCTTTTACATCTTCTATCCCACTTTCCTTCTGTAAGAAGTGATACTGAAGAACCGTGAAGTCAACTGCCGTCTCGTAGGACCTGTTTGTCATAACAACCCAAACTATTAAAATGACTTGATAGATTAACTCAACCTTTCAGGAAAGATGTATTTGAACCGTCATTTTTTTCCTACTTTTTATGAAATTTATTTTGGGTTTGAAATTTTAGCCCTTTAACCAAAGTTTGGAGGACCTTCTTCTTTGTTGTAGAACTCAAAAATGCATGAACTTTGAGTGCTGAAATTTAACCATAAGAAATACCTAGTATAGCATGCACTAGTAGTCGAAATTTAGGACACAAATCAGAAGTGAATTTTTTGAGCTAGTTTGTATCATAGCTTTTAAACTGTCAGAAAATTGTTTTAACATATTGAACAAAATTTGGGCAAGTTAATATCTTTCATAAGATTTAAAGAATTCGGGACTGACCCCTCGTATTAAGGGTTCAGAGCGAGCGATAGTCTTTAATTTATATGATTCTTTATGGATCAATATCTTGTTACATGAATTAAATGTGTGCATTACTGAAAATGTTTAGCGTTACAATTTGCATCAACATATAATCAACTTCTGATCATAATTAAGGGGTATATTAAGGGTTATGAAGGGCCGATGTAAGTCATATTTCTACGTAGAAAAATGACCACCTGGTCAATATTCTACGGATGTCATTTTTCGTCGATACAACGGAAGGCTTCATGCATATATTTGACAATTCACATTTCGGGAATTGGAAATAATTTGATGAGCAGTATTGAACAAGTACAAGAGAGAAATAATCATGTTCAAAACAATATATTTACAGTCCCCCAGCTTTCCTTTAATGTGAACTTGCAGTCTTCAACTGCGTTCATAGGTCTATAATCTCAACTTCTTCTATACATGACTGTACCTCTCTTTTCACACTCGTACAGTACAAGCTCTACTACAATAGTAGTGCGCGCTTAGAAGTATATATATCGAATGTTGTGCAAACTGAATAAATATAAGTGTTTAATAATATTCTCTGGGAAAAATCAGAATGATTTTAAAATGCTGGTTTATATCTTTAAAAATTCAATTTTGATCAATGTATTTAATTGAATAATAATATAAATAAAAATTTATTGAGAACTGTCTTATTGTTATTTTTTTCTAATCATATTTTTGGATAATTGTACAAAGAACGATAATTAATCACACTTGGGTGTTTTAACATTCAGAAAAAGTAAAATTTCCTCACTAGTATATCTATTTCAAGATCGATTCCAGCTCTTAAGAATAAATAGAACATTAAAAATCTTAAAAAGCATTTTGAAGTTAGAATCATGATCAAAGCACTATTTTTTTTTTTCATCAAAGTATTTTATAATTGATTTTTGTCAGAGGATTTCAAAAAAGATCGATGACGTAACAACCGCATCAACACAATTTTTTTAAAAAAAAAACATGTAAGAATGCTAATATTGAACATTTTTAAATCTTTGCAAAACGACCCTACTTAAGACTTCAAGGACTGACAATGAACTATTTCTATTACAATTTTTTCAAATACGCAAAGGCATTTTGAACAGATTTTTAGAAATGTCATCAAAACACGAAACTCTTCATTTTATATCAAGAAAAAAGTGCTGACGCCTCAAATTAGAGGCTGAAAGGGACCAAAAATGATTCATACAATGTATATAACCTTTTAATAATCATTATTTAAATTATTCATTACTTAAACCAAAAAAATTAATAATCGTAACAAACTACAACTACATTTTTCATATTTACGTCATGAATTTCATAGATAGGAAACACAATTTGCCAAAATGCTAAATCTTTGGTTCATCATATTTTGGAAGTTGGTAATAATTTGATAAGCAATAGTGAATAAAATAAGATATTCAAAAAACTGTCTGAACAATATACAATCTTTCAATATTTGTAAAGCATCATTATCAAGGAGCTGAAGGACAATCATCTTAATATAAAAATAACCTCATGTTTTTTTTATAGTTGTTGTACAGAAAGTGTTCAAAAACCTGAGACTCAAAGATATCAAGGTAATTGGGCTGTACTCTGAAATTGAGGTCAAAAGAAGCGGAGAATCTTTGATCAATATCTCTTTTAAGATCAATATTCTAATAAACATTACTGAAGCAAAGATGATTATCGTAACAATATACAAAGGTTATTATGGTATATACGAAATATTTTACCTAATTAGGGTCATAAAAGTACAGAATAATACATTTTAGACAATTTGTTTTTAGACATAGGGAAATATTTTGATAGGCAATATTGTTCATAAGATTTTTCACGTGTTCTGTTTTTGTGTGATCGATGAGCCCAAGGCACGGAAGCCTTTTCTTCTGAACTTCATATAGTTTCATGATGATGCATGGAATTAATTTTATGTAAACCAACAAAACTGAGATCCTCTATACCTCCTGGGTTGTGCTTAATTGAATAATGTATGCAAACTCAATGAGTGGTGCAAAGAGAAGGACCCCCGCTCTTCCTAGTAGTGTTTATCATAAAATACCTGGTATATTAATGATAATTTATAAACGCAAAAGTAGTCATCTGTTTGGAATAGAAAAAAAGAAAAAAAGTGTTATTAATGTATGATTATTTCAAATAATTTTTAATTTAAATTTACCACATATACAAACTAATGTGAACTTTACAAAAACATGAATGGGTCTGTCAATCATGTATATTTTCATATATTGCGGGGGAGCTTCCTGTCCATTTAAAAGTCATCTAAACGCAAAAAGAAGACAATGTTGATACCTAATTTCCATTTCTTCGTCGATACCATATATCGAAGTGTAAAATTGACAGATTAAAGTGTAAAATGTGCAGATTAATGCTATGTTCCCACTATCACGATTGGCGCCACGATTGAGATCGGGGACTCGAACGTGGACAAATCGTAGTTCTCGTATCAAACCGAAACAAATCTTGTGTTCACTCGTGACTATCGTGTTGATCGTGAAATTTTTTTTGACTGTCAAAAATTTTTCTACGATTAACACGATAAGATTTTAATCGTTATCATCGCAGCAAATCGCATTACATCGTAACTAACCTCAGCTGCATCGTATATAAACGTAAATAATCTGGTTTGTATATCGTGATCATCGGGATCAATCTCGGAAAGGACAGATATCCCGCTGAATGGCGATTCGTTGCGATATCTCACGTTCTGTCACTATCTGTGACGCTTTGCGTGGCCATCTGCTCACGTGCTGACACGGTTCGTTCCCGCTTAAAGACGATTTGATACGGACATATGAGAGTAAACGCCATTAGACACGAGTGTTAACGCTTTGTTGCGGATAAGCACGCTATATTTCGAGTACTAAAAGCTTGCAAAAAAAAAAACGGGAAAATTGAACGCGTTTCTTTCCCGATTGAAAAAAAAATGTCTGAGTTTTGGAAAAATATTTTAAAGATGCCACATAAAACAGGTACAAAATAGAAAGAGGGGAGTTCCTATCATCTTTTGAACTTGAACCCGTTCGATCAGAGGCAACATCAGTGAAAAAAGATAAGAGATAGTTATACTGCTCTTTTACTCTACTTTGACAGCAATAACATATGACCATAGTTACACTACAAACACCACGTTTATGAAGTTGTCATCAACCTTTACTTCTGCCATTATTATTGATTGTATGTTTATGTTTTGTTTAATTTTAAAGAGATAAAATATAATGGACTCAGTATAACCAGATTTTTATATGTCTGTCGGGGTACAATCGTAGCTCAAAGCGTGTTCTATCTTGATCCTGATCGTGAAAGACATTGCAATGAACGTGTTATTCTATCGTACATTAGCGCAAGAGAGCGCAATGAACGTATTATATCGTATGAGTACGTATTAAAACGTAGGAGATCCTTTCTAATCGAGGACTCGAATCGTGATATTCGTGACAGATCGAGGTCCTTTTTCGACTAAATCTTGATAATCCTATTGAAACGTAATTCATCTTATCCGAACGGTAGTCAGATCGTTAGAGATCGCATCACATGAAATTTATCCATCGGGGGCATAGCGCATAAAAGCGTAACGAAACGTATGAAAACGCACCTAAACGTATCTCTTCGTATCTTGGCATAAAATTCAATAAAAACTCCGCGATCAACTACGATTGATCTATCGTGACGTGCGTAACTGACCGCACGACAGTGGGAACGTAGCATAAAGTACATGTATAAAATATAGAGATTAAAATGTAAATTTTAAATTTTAAAGTGAACATTTTATGGTTTAAAGGTTAAAATCTACACTTCAAAGTGTAGATATTAAAAAGTAAAGTGTCCAAGTGGCACTACTTCGCTTCCGTAATAGCCCTATTGCTTCTCTTCACTAAGATTTGAGAAAACCGGCAGATCTACAGATGTGAAATGTAAAACGGATCTCTAAAATCTGAAAATGTCAATTTCCTCCTGATATAGATTTAACTGCTTTAACAGGAAATGTCCTTTTTATGTAAAATAGGAAACTCATTATCATTAATTTCAAATCAGACTGTGCTGGTTAGAATGGTTTTACGATTTGCTTTTATGTGTCTCATTCAAGCTTGGATTCTAGATTCCAGTGACAGATGCATAAGGTAAATATTACGAAATCTATTTTTGTTGCAAAAGATTAAAATTATCTTAATCTCAATGATATTTTCTAGGGCTGGTAGTTTAGTATGTTGTCCGGGATTCCGGTATAATAGGAGAACAGACAAATGTGAGGGTAAGGGATATTTATAAATCTTTATTTAAAAAAAAAGAAATCTATCAGAATATCTAAATAAAAATAAAAATACATATTTGGAATTTTAGAATGCCCACTTGGGTACTTTCATTGGGACTGTTCTAGAAAATGTGATTATCCATATTACGGCAAGGACTGTCAAAAGAAATGTTTATGTACAAGAGAACTTTGTAATGTTTCCTTCGGCTGTACAGAATCTGAAGGTGTGTATGGATTTAGTTTAATGTGTATGAAATACGTTTAATGACATATTAATTGAAAACATTAAAAAAAGATTTTACAAAATATCCTTTTTTTATGAATTTCAAAGAAAAGTTAAACATGCAATATTTCCAGATTCAGATTAATAGGTATTAGCATTTCATAACTATAAGACATTTATTAGTAAATTTCCAAACGGAATTATATTTGCCACGAGGTTGCATTATTGCAATGAAAAGAATTACTTAATGTTTATTCGTTTAAAAAAATGCATTACTATCGTTTTATTGCAATGCAGACATGAAAAAGAATTCTGACGCATTTTTAAATATATACACAGGGCAAGAAGAACGTGTCTCCCTTCCGAATTTAAAAAACGGAAGTAAGATTTTCTCAAGCATCGCATATTCATATAACAAAATTACTACAGTTTCCTTATCTATCAGAAACGATAAACTGGGTGACAAGAATAGTGTACGTACGTATATTCCTATCCAGTGGGATACCAATACTCGAGAGATTATTACTCAAGTAGTTGAGGAAACCAACAGCACATTTTTGTCAAGCACCACAGGATTTATTATACTAAGTTTAGTGGGATTATTTGTTTTGTTGTTTGCAATCCTTGTTGTATCAATTGTTTACAAAATGTTTTTCCAAAAACCTACAATGATCAGTTCCGTTGACAAAGGTTCTGTAAAAGAAAACACCAACTACTCACCAATTCTAGAGCAAACGGATAATGAACGAAGATCAGTTTTACAGGCGTGTCGTATTACCAGTGATGTCACTTCATATTTATCGCCATTGCATTTAAGTACAAGTCGGTATGAGGAAATCGATTTAAATGCTTTTCCAATTGAATCAAAATACTATGAAATTGGAAACGTACCAGAGGTACAGCATGACACGTACTTGACCCCTCAAACTGTTTCAGATCAAGTGTACATAGAAATCATGAATTGAAAATAACATTACTCTTTTGTTTTATATAATTACATGTAACAAGAATTTATTCGATTAAAATTTGAAATTATGTTTAATGTTTTGTAGTTTAATGACAATGACCAATAGGCATGTTTATATCTTAGTCATTGTTATCTAAGGTATGATTCTTCTCTGGTTTTCTGATTAGATGAAATATTCAAAGTACATCTGCTTATATTTGTCTTATAAATTTAGGTGTAAGAGATTTAAAAAAAACAACAACATATTTTTCTATCCTCGTCACAATTGTACAACAAACTTTGAATAGAAAGAGTTAACCGCATTTAAAAACTAGCAGGGACTATATCTTTGAGGAATGGTGGCGTATGAAAATATCTTCTTTCTGTATCTCAATATTATTATAGAACAGTGAATTTAGCTTTAATTTTTACACAATGGACTTTTTAAATTTAATTTTGATAAATGATAATCTGCTTAAGTTCCTAAATATATTAAATCAATATAATTTCTCGAACAAACTAGAACTATGTTAGCTTCTAAAGAGCTTCCAATCTTAGTACCGATATGAGCTAAAAATCCGTAAAATGTATTTTTTCTGTCTTAGTAAGCAATCAATTTTTTTTTTGTTTTTAAATCATTATTGTACTTTTATGTGACAACTTTAACATATGTGAAAATGAAAAAGAATTGAAATATAGGACGCATATAAAATAACTAATATATCCTAAAAATTTAAGAAAAGTAGAAGAAAGTCGGATTAGCCAATGTCCATTTTAGTAATATCATTTATGTCAATTTGGAAATCTTTTAGGCCCTTAATGATAGTATGTTTTTATGCAAAAAGAAAAAAAAACTTCTATTATTTGAAATACAAATTGGGATTGCATAATTGGCAAAAGTATTATTTCATGATTAATAAACAGGGAAAAGGTAATGACCTGAACCTGACCTTGTCTCTGATATGAAACAGTCAAATTTAATTTCAATGACATCATCACTCAGTGATATTGTCCTCTTATTTCTGGGAAATTTCATCAATTTTTTAATACAAGAAATATTAGAAGAATCTTACCTTAAATAAACAGTAAAATTTTTAACTGTAAAAAAACTGTTATCTTTTAGTCAGAAAAACAAAATGTATGTCAATGTGAAGTTAATTTTCTTCAAATTCATTTCTGAAAAAAAAAATTGTATGCACCCGTATAAAAATAGTCGCCTAAAAGTCGGTCCACCTGTAAGTCGGTTTTATTTTTTGAAGTTATTTTGCAAGGATTGACAATTGACCCGCTTTATTAGTCGGTACAGCTTTTTGTCAGAATCAGATTACAATTTCTAATAAATGCTCTGATATTTTAACTGATTTCAATTAACATTTTTTTTTTTAGAAATGAAGTTAGTTCAATTTTAAACTAAAATCATAAAAAAATAAATAACACCCTCTTAAAATAAAAAAAAATAATACAAGTATACACATTAATACCTGTACTTAATGCATAATCTTAGAATACATAATTGATATATTCAGACTTTGTTCAACAATAAGTGTTGGAAATGTTTAATAAAAAAAACTACGTTTCACCAACAAGACAAAAACAATTCATTTTATGACTCGGTCATAAGTGGGACATTGATTTTTGGACTAAAGTTTCACTCCCGAAAAGCCGACTTAATTATAGCCGAATGTTACATGTACATTGTATAGGCGAGTATCTTACGGTAAATGTTTTTGTCAGCTGATATATTCAAAAGTGTTAGCATAACGGAATATACGGAAAGTCCATTCATGCAATACAAGTCAGAATCAGGGCAAGCACGGACCTCTAAATCATCATGCAAAAGTGGGATCAAGTGCCATGGAGTAGTGAGCATTCGCTGTCACACCGACCTTGTGCTCCCTGTCATGGTCAGGAAATAACGAGAAAATCCGTCAATAAATCAGTGTGTGAATAATGAGCCAATGAATAACATAAAAAAAAACGCTTGAAGAATTCGACACAATGATAAATTGTATTTGCTGACAAGGTCATTGTATGGACCATAGAATTTACGGAATAATGACTTAAACAACTCTGTAGATATTCTTGTTTCATCAACTCCTTTCGCAATAGTTTACCTCGTTTTGAGAATTGTTCTTGCGTTTTGAATCACTTGAGAGATATACATTCCATATGCTAGTGAAAAGGGCAACGTGCTGCATATGAAGGGGTATTGACATTCAGAGTTGTCATAAAACTTTGCTGTAAGGTAACAATTAAGTATGTCTATATCTATTAAAATATCTAGTTATGAAATAGTTGTATCAGATTCTAGGATATCTTCAATTTCAAGCTCACATGGATATATCGTGTTGACATTTGAATTACTTGGTACTCAGGGCCATTGAGCAGGGAGAGATCTTTCTTTGGACAGCACCTACCGCGAGACGGTAACTCGGTTTATACGGTCTCAACCGAAGGACTGGTCTCCACGTCCCACAGTAGGATTCGAACCAGCGACATAAGGATCAACTTCTCAATTTGCGACTCTAGAAGAGACGCTCTAACCACTTAATCACGCTGTCGACTAATAGGTTTTTTGAAGACTAGGATTCGTTTTAATAAAAAATCGAAAGTCCTTCAGCATAATAAGCGGATATAATACTGAAAAAGTATTTTTTTTTTCTACTTAGTAAAATGGAATGTCATTCGCATATTGCTTAGATTATTGCTTAAAACTTTTCAACTCTTAAGTATATGCTAAAATTTAACGTGTTTTTAGAATTTATTGCAATACAAATATATTTGTATGATATATTTTCATCTTTTATTCACAAATTGTCCAACAACAGAACCAATATCTATTTATTATGGTTTCTTGTTAATTTTTTTTTAATTTGTGCATTTATTAAATAATGAATTTTTAATGATATAATCTGCTTATTTTTAAAATTCTTTACCTTCTAATTTTGCCTCTTTACATACATTTTTATTAAATATATGCAGGTATATATTGATATTTGTCAATGTTTTGTAACTTATACTAGTATTTACTTGTACATGTATGACCTTGATCATTGTATCATACTGTCCAATTATGATATGTTTATACATAATAAAATGATGATTAAAACACTTTAAAATTACAATTAATAAAGTTTAGTATGGTATATACCTTGCTTCAGTTCTAGAGCATATTGCCCAAGACATTTTGAAGAGGTGTAACACAAAAATAATTAAAATTTTACCAAAACAATGATATGAAAATATGAATAGAAATTAAATCACTGAAAAAAAATTACAAACTGCATGTTTTTACTTTCTTATATGGCATACGCTGTACTAAATAGATCCATAAGTTGATAGCCATTTATGAAACCTATTATCAAAGGTTTAAATTTTGACGTCATTTGATCGTTGCGTAGTTGTGTCATGTGCCATATTTTTGACAATGTAATGTAAGTCGGAAGAGCCATTTGGAGTTCACAAGCGCTTGTTAAGGAAATAATTTTTAGAATGATCGTAATAAAATTTATACAGCTGTATTTAACATATGGGTTAAAATTTATTTCCGAAACAAGTGCTTGTTAACTCCAAATGGTTCTTCCGAAGAGTTTGATACCCTTGCATGTATCCCATGTTACATAATTTTAAGAGAGAGAGAGAGAGAGAGAGAGAGAGAGAGAGAGAGAGAGAGATTTAATGACTGTTATCAGAAAAGGGTCAATTGTAGAAATATAAAATTTCGTTAGCACAGAACTTCTTTGTTTCAAATTTAACAAGTGCAAAATAAAGATATCTAAAATGTTTCAGTGGGCTTTTATTAAATTTTTCTTCATACATGTCACAATTGTTAACAACAAAATAAACGACATTTCATCACCAAGAATATATTTTTGCTTCTACAGTATTGTACTTGAAATTGTCTACAATAATTCGATGGAAAATGTTTGAAACATTTCGATCCTTTAATACTCTAAAAATAATTTTAAAACGACTTGATAACATCTTGAGTGTCAATCATCTCTGCATCCTCTCTTTATTTGTAACTACTTCTCTGCAAACGTTTTTTATTGTTCCCCTCTCATTTTCCACTTTGTCTCTCTCTTTAGTACAGAACTTGTAGTATTTTGATCATTTAAATTGAACAAAATATTATAATGAATGGTTATGACAGGAAGGCAAATTATGAAATATCCATGAATCTTTTTTGTATATTATTAATATTCTTTTCTTCTTCAATATGACATAAAACGATATGTTTGTTCAAAGTAAAATAAAAGCGAGGGGGGCTTTATTGTAATGGCAAAAGTGTATTTAAGCAGATTGTGATCTTCTTAGCTTTGAATCGCAAAGTATTTCGCTTAGAAGTTTTACAGTAAATGAATCATGTTATTCAGGTTAGAATATGCTCAAGAAATTTAAGCATATTATTTTGAAAAGTCTTGGATTTTTTTATATTGGTCGCCATAAACCACATTGATATTGTCAATCAGAAATGTAATTGTCATGTCATTTAATAAGAACGCCCGGGTATTGTATGATTAAAATATTATTTCAAACAGAAAAAAAATTGCAAATGACCAATGGCAAGTGTCATTTATATTGAAAAAGTAGCTGTCAATGTCTTAAAGCCTGAACTTAAAATTAACATGAGAAATGATTATGCGATGTATATAAAGTTTGAAAGTCTTACGTTGTTACATATATAATGTTTATTTTGGTAAATTTTTGTGATGTCTATTTTTCCAAAGGTTCCCTAGAATTTTAAGTATTCACATCTTATTTAGATAATTAGATCGATTTTCAAATATATTGTTGCACAGTACACCTGAAGTTTATCCTTTATTACTCTTTATATCTTAATGAAGTTTATGGAGGAGAAAAAGAGTGGTAGGCAAATCTTTTATAGGAACCCAATGTATATTTTGTTTGTAAGACTTTTATGAAGTTTTGGAATTCAATAAAGATGCGGTAATTCAAATTCAATTTTGTTTAAAATATTTATGTTTATGTATTGACACTAATTTTGAATTCCTCCTTTTGTAGACTAAAATTCCGCTTCCTCAAAAATACAATTAATAAATGTGCCAAACAAACGTAGACAATATTATTACCTTTTTATTTTTACCTGTTACTAGCCCTGATCATGTGTCATTTTTAATTCTTTTTTACCGCTGATTTATTGAACACAAAAGGATAGAAGGTTTTCCTCCCCACACACCCTCAATCTCTTCATGGCAGAACTCCAGTAACCTCTAATACATTTAATCCTTTCTGACTAAGTATAAAGGCTCTATTTTTTCATGCATGATCCATTTAATGGCTAGTGGAAAAATAACCTCTAAAGCGGAATAAATTGTAAACGAAATTTAATAAATGATATCAAGGCTTTCGCTTAAAATGTCAAAATTGAATATTTGCTAAAATATCTTGCCACATTCGAAACACACTTGAATCGGAATTGAAACCCCCTATGATACATACCAAAAAACCCTCATGCGCCCCTTTACACAAGGTAGTTAAACAAGGTTGTATTTTTATACCCCGAAGTCTGACCTTTTTTCCTGGTTTACACATTAAGACCTTCTACATTGATGAACTCTCCAATTTACAATGTTAAGAATTCAAGTTTAGAAAATAAAGGTAAGACACCTCCTTGAAAAAAAATCATATAGATCAAATTAAAAAACGGTTTATTTTCTACTTTCGTTTCTCTCAACCGAGAAAATTCGAAATAAATGTAAGTTTACAAAAGAAATTTAAAACATTGAATTGAGGATTTTTTATTCATTAACAGTGATTTAATGGGATATTAGCAAAACCTTAAATGTATTAAGGTTGATATAATGTATAACCTTTACTTATTTGTATTTTTATAAGACAGATATCTTTTTTTCTTCATGTTTTGTCGTTATGAATGATTACAAAGACTAAGAATTTAGTTTCAGGATGTATACTGTAGCATTTCTTCTTTATTTTGGTAGGTAAGGTGAGTTGGGAATTATTTATCTGTTGTAGTATTCTTTATACTAGAATATTTTATATATATTTAGGTTTTTATCATTCAATTGCATATGTTTAAGTTTTAGGCGGCATGATACCAAAAGATTTTTCGTCTGAAGGATAATCTTCATTGATGTCATGGATAAGAAAATGAGCAGCAAACTCATATCAACTCTTATTATCACAATATTGTTTACAAAAGTAAGTTTGTTTCTGGGGTGAATCTCTAACTAACGTTTTTGTAGATAATATTATCTTTTAGTTACTATAAAAATATAGAAATCAAAAACTGAAGAATTGCAAATGTATAATTTCTACTTTAATTTGTTACAAAATCCTAATTTTTATTTTGATAGGATAACTTCATCTGTGACTGCAAAGTTTGTGAAATATTGACAAAAACTGTAGGAGTAGTCTCAAAATGCCCTTCAAATAAAAAGGAAATGGAAGAAGTTTCAAGACGAAAAAATTGTGAACAATATGTGAAAAAAGCTGAAGTAAACAAATGCAGTGACTATGAAAAAATACGATATCATTGCGTCATTAATGCTTTCGGTAATCAGACAATTGAGATATGTGCACCAGAGAAAAGAATTAATGGTAAGTAAACTGCCAAAATGTTGTAAAAAAGACAATATAAAAAGGAAAAGGAAATTTTAGAAATAAAGAATCGTTATAATTTGTGTAGAAAAAACTCAAAGTCAACTTTGATTTGGATTTTTGCATATACTAAATATATATTCAATATAAATTTAATAAAATGTCAAATTTACACTATTTTTATTATACAGACTCTTTTTGTATCCTGATTGAAACTAGAAGAGTGTATATGTCTATTTTCAAAGGTTATTGCACAGAGTTTAATGAAGAAGTAGGACAAATACAAGCTAATTTTTACCTAGACTGTACACAATTTTTGCCACCCTGTAAAAGCCATTACAATTCAGCTGAGGCTTACCTCTGTATGTATGAATAATATTTAATTTGTTTTATATATTTTTATTATCTTTATTCTGTAAATTGTATCATTAACATTTTGATTTGCGTTTTTGTCTTCATGGGATTCCATAATACTAATGCCTGAATGGGTTGAAAGTTGTAAAACTGAATAATATTCTACTTACAATAGTTTTAATTTAGGTTGGTGCCCTTCATAATATTCAAGACAAAGATAAAGACATGCATTAAAAATATCCCATTTGTAGTTAGGATACAGCACTATCAAAATCCACGAAAAAAAATTTAAAACAAAATTTCAGGCGCGTAGCCAGGCGTACGTTTGTACGCACAAACGTCCAAATCCGTTTCCAAAAAAAAAAAAAAAAAAGAGAAGAAAGAAAGAAAGGAGAGGAGAGCGAGACAGGCGTAATATTTAAAACGTACTCATCATTTTTGCAAAATATGAGTAAATAATTTCAAAAATAAAGAAAATACTCAGAAACAATTTAGAGTTAAGATTACGATAAAACCTAACTGAAATCAAAAGATTTTCTCGGATTTTGATTGACTATATCGAATATTGCTTTTTTTTCCCAAGTGTATTAAATTCTTAAAGAGTTTCTCTATTGTAGATGTCACAAAATAAAACCACAGTCGGTTCCCTTAACACAAACGATAATTTTTCTAATGCCAAAAATTTCTATTTCTATTACTGGAAATTAACTTCCAACAGCAATGCTTAACTTCTTTAACGATATCCCCCGCCCCCCAATTTTAACCTAATATCGGATTCATGCGAAACTTCAAAAATCATAATTCAGCTTGATATATGAACATCGAAAATCGAAAAATTGGTAAAATTCCGTTTAACCTTAAAAAAAAATAATAAGGCCTGTTTAAGTATTGACATCCGTAACACTAGCTTAAAACTAGTAGTATATTTTACATGTTTTTTTATGATTGTAGCAAACAGTTTAAGACACCAGATTTGTGAATGTTTATGAAAATTCCTTTTAAAATGTTTACAATGTACATAGGTAATGTGCAAGAAAATGCGTCGAAAAGAATTCTTCTGTTTTTGTTATTTTCAATCTGTAGAGATGCATTTTTAATATTTAAGCCTGGCTATTAGTCAATTACGCGGTCTGTCTAAACCAGTCAACCACTCTAACCAACTGCCGGATGTTAACCATACGTATTTTGTCCAGCTTCAAAAGTCTAAAATTGTTTTCGTGGGTTCGCTTTTGTACTTTTCTCATTTTTGAGTGACTGTCCGCATTTTGTAAAAGGAAAGAACAGACCTTAAATTTATGTGGCTGCGTAACAAACCGAAAAAGTGTAAGAAAAATGATATCAGAAGGGTCAAACATGCACATCGAAAATTCACCAGCTTCCGGGGGCTTTGCCACCTGGACCCCTACCAGGGCTTCGACCTGGACCCATTCTGGGCCTTAAGGCGGCCCCCAAACCCCCAGCCTATCCTGGCGTCCACATCAAATGTACCCTGGCTACGCCCCTGACTCTGGGAAATTAACTCTCAATGAAAAAAAAATATTTCAATAATGGAGATAAATGAGTTGGAGTTATTGTCCCTTACACATTTTTAAATCAAAGAATAAATAATCTCATTATCAGTGTGAATATTTTTCTAAAATCTTTAATTGAGCGAAATTTTAGATAAAATATTATACATTTTTTTCGGGCTTTAACTTAAAGAATGAACATTTATTTAAAGAATACTTGACACCACACGAGGATTGAAGGTAGAGGGTTGTAAATTTAGATCTATACTCGCCACTCAGAGCCTTTGAGCAATGATGGATCTTTTTCGTGCTTGCACTTATTTCGTCATGGGACTTTTGTTTATTCTAACGTTAAGATAAATTCCTTACTTTGCGACTGTAGACCAAATGCTCTGATAATTGCACCACGCGGACAATTACCGCAAAATAATTCGATAATATTAAGATGATTTAATTTGTTTATACTCACAATGCTTCAATACCATCGTCGGAAACCCACGGGTGATCTCGTCTTTACTTATCACCGTGGGCAAACTCGCCGAAAAATCGTCGTATGTAATTAAATATGCATGGATCATTTGATTGGACGCATTACAGAATCGCGATGCGAAACAACGAATCACATTTCACGTTACGTATGCATGTTCGGCATTGGCAAAAACATGAAAAACTCATTCCGTAGTTAACACAGCTGATAAATTCACTCACCGGTGCATTTTGCAGCTAGAAAGAGGAACTCCTTTATAACATCTGACGGATATTAATGTCAGTGACCTGTACGAATTGACTTTCATTGTTTTAAAACAAACTTCGCACGTTTTAACGAGCGTAAAATAAAAGCAAAGTAATGAACGTATTTTTCATAATTGAAGAGTTCCAACTTTCTGATTGGTTGACTAAGAACAACAAATTAGCATATTTTAAGGCGATATTTCAGCTAGTTTGCCCACGGGTGATAAGTAAAGACGAGATCACCCGTGGGTTTCCGACGATGCTTCAATACATGCTACAATACATTGTCATATCGTCAACAAAGTCTATTGTAAAATAAAAAGATTTCAGACTGAATTGTGTTTCAATGTACCACCTTTCTTATAATGTCTTCATAAATTTTGATAAATACTTATAGTGAATTTTGCACTTCTATTGTTATTAATTGATTCCTGTCCTAAAAATCGCCAGTATATGAATAATTTTAAAATGTTACTCATGCAGAAACTTGAAAACGTTTTAAGTAACAAGAAAGATAACTCTAAATAAAATCTTTAATACCAATTATCTTGAAAATGATTTTTTCTACATCAGTAAATTTAATTCTCTTTTTCTTTCAAAACTCATTGATGTAATTGTTCTTATTTATTTTATATATATGCATAGGTAAAGTTGTACTAAAATAGAGGATGACAGTTTAAATAAAACTTGAAGAGAACGCTTAAAAATCTTGTTAAAAATAGCTTGATCACACTAACTCATAGTACATGTATACTATAGAACTTCTTGGATCAATTTTATTTTATTGAAATAAAGGAGTCTGGTGGGGCTGTCAAAATTGTTGTCAAAAAAAGTTGTCTCCAAAATTTGGTATAATATTTCACATTGTGTGTGTAAATTCGAAAAACATAATAAAAAGTATCAATGCGAGCAAGCTCACGTATGTTATATTTGATTTTTCTGAACCTTTTTAGCTAAGTTATAATTTACTTTAGTAACAAAAAGGGATCATGATTTATGTTATTGGAATACATTATAAAAAAATTTATTTGATTTATTGAAAGTTTTGCAAGAACAGTAAAGACGAATGACCTCATACATGTATGTCAGGAAAACTATGTTGCACATTATACACTCTGTATATATACTGAAACGCAAATGTTTGAATCTTTTATCTAATGATTTAAAAAAGAATACAGTAAGGCTAAACTCACTTTTCAGAACATCAGAGATTTGATAAAATTGTTTCTGTTAATATTTATCTATTAACTTTACTAAGTAACATTATGACTATATCCCCCACTCTCCCAGCCATTTTTTTACAACGTGCAAGGCTGCCCTTAACAACAATTGCAGCTTAAATTCTACGCCAACATAGGTTAATATCGAGATATAAGGATTTATTCTTTGCCATTATTAAATGCCTTTTTCTTCAGATGATTATGTCGAATTTTCTCTAACTTAGTACATTGTAGTAATCCTTGGACTTCTAGTGTATGATTTGTAAGCGATATAATGCAGTGTATTTTTGCATCATTAACTCTCCATCAGCTTTACTTTGAGATTTTCCAGCTAGAGCGCTGGAAATGCGTACTTGAGCCATTTTCGAGAAGCATTAGCATCGTCACTTGAAACGAAAGGAGATTTTCTTTTTTAAAAAATTGCACCATTACTTAAGATGAACAGTACGTACAAACCCTTAAAACTCCATAATAATGCCAAATGTTTTGTTAAACATGCAATTTTTGATTTCTGTTAAGCAGATTCATACATGACTTCCGGTTATGGTATGAAAATCCTTCAACCGTTCAATTACCGATATTTTCCAAATTGAAAATATCCATAATTTTTAAGATACAAAATCATCTGCTTTACATAATTATTTTCCCCCATAGTAGGGTGTTGCTTTTCAGTATATGTATCCAGTTGATGTGAATTCTGTTTATCTTTGTACATTGTTTATTTTTATTTGAATAGATAAAAATTGCTACAATTATACTAACATACAAGAAGTTGTTAAGAGCACAAAAGGTGGAAATATAATACAAATACAAGAAAAAGATGTCACAAATCAGTTGTCTTCTCCTGTCGCTTATATGCTGAGTTATTCAAAAATCATAGAACCGTGAGTATTAAGGAAAATTTATTTATTTTTGCAAACCGTCTTTGATCAAAAAAGAGTGTAAAATAGTCCAAACTGTTTTTCTCTCATTAAATAAACATTTATGAATATTATTATTCATTTCACACTTAATCCAAATTTGTAACATTACTGATCCTCAATTTCGCATGCAATAGTAATTTAAATGATTTTTTATTTGTTTATATATCATTTAATTGTATATTCTTTCTCTTTACAGAATCTCAATGGTAATAATTATATGTAATGTTGTCTTACTGATTATAATAGTCATTTTGTATTCTGGGATTTTGCCTAAGTTTGTGCGGTATGTATACTTGTGTAAAGATTAAAAAACATTTTTGAAATTAATCATTACTAACATATCAGTAAATAAGAATTTCGACAGAAAGCACACAGCACTAACAAATATAGATTTTACTTTCTCTATTTAGTACTTATAAGTACATTATTACTTATAAATATTCGAAGAGAGATTAATTCATTGTATATTGTATAACTCCCTCTCGAGAATTTGTCACTCATATGGAGGCGCCACCACTTGCCGGTGGAAAGCTACAAATTTTGTCCTATACACTGCACTCAATGACTCAATACCCGGTCATTGAGCAGGGGGGGGGGGTTTCGTGCCAGCAATTGCTGCAATTCGGATCCTCGGTTTATACTGTCTCATCCGAAGGACCGGTCTCCACCTCCCACAGTGGGATTCGAACCTGCAGCGTAAGGATCAACTCCTTACTTACTTACGCGACTCTAGAGCGGAAGCTTTAACCAGTGGGTGACTATTCAATTAAAAAAGGAATACTTAATTAATTGAAAGATAAATCACACTTTTTACTTTGAACACATCCAAAATTTTAAACAAACCTCTATGAAGGAATTATGAAGCAAAAATTTTAAACAATTTTTTAATCTATATTAGTGAGCTGAATTCCTATCCAAACTGTCATATCTAACTTATTTCATCGCTGATATAAACGATTTTTGTGAGATTTGAAAAATAAAAATATACCACACACTCACACACACACCCTCACACACACACACACCCTCACACACACACACCTTCTCTCTCACACAGACACCCTCTTTCTCTTTCTCTCTCACACAAACATATATCAGAATAAAGAAAAAAATCACTTACTTTCAGATATATAATAGGGGAAAAGGAAAAGGTTCAGCACAACGACCCATTTCAGGTATTTACAAAAATTAACGATTGAAACATTATTTTCACAGTAGGTATTGAAAATAAAATGGTGATAATGATCATTTACTATGAAATATATAGATTATAACCTTTTTAATGCTTTGGGATGGGGAAGGGGGTGTTGCAGACCTAGTAAAGATGTATGAGATTTTAGAAAATGTAAAGTTTCATTATTTAAAAATATGATTCTGCAAAGAAGTAATTATAAAAATTAAAGTCAGATTTAAAACTTTATTTTAAGAACTTGGAGATTGGGTCAATGCAAGCTCATATAAATGAAAATAATTCAGTGTAATTAAAAACCTTGTTTCGAAACCAATTTTTTTTCACTTTTTGTCAGTTTATCATATAATGTTCACGCTACACAATTTTTATCAAGTAAAATCTGAAAACATGCTTTACAATTTTGATCATGTTTCCCTAATTTCGATTTAAATATGAATACAATTCATATAAATTTGAATTTTGTTGATAAAAATATTTTATCTACTACCTTCATCTCCTAATAACATTTTTCCCACTCTTGTTTAATCTACTTCATATTATTTAAGTAACTTTGTATATATGCCTTACATGGACTAAAAGAATGACCATCTTTGGCATAATCTGGTGAATAAATTTGGCTAAAAGTAATGTTTGATCCATTACTGAGTTTAAGTTTTTCATTCGACAATTTCATTATTCCTTAGCAACGTTATTAAAACTTGTATTTTTCCTAAATGTATAATTAACAAATCTACATTAGCATCAATCCCATTAATGTTCTTCATCAACGGTATATCATAATTTTGATTTGCAATTTCTAAAGAAATATTAACATAAATCATTAAAAATATAAAATTTCAAAGCAAAATTCTCGTCATTAAAAACTTCTACATTATAGTTGTAAAATATATTTATATTTTCTTTTCATAAGGGCCATCCTAGGCCTATTGATGAAGAGGAAAGATTGAGTAAGATTTGTTTATTCAGAAAATGTTTTCTTCGAAAACGATTTATTATTTTTTTAAGCAAATCTGTATTGGTTTATATGTCAGTAATTTTTCACTTAAATGAAGAGAGACTAAATTAGAGAATAATGTAAAGATATTTCACAATCAAGATATAATTCTGAAAATTTAAGCATCAGAACTTTTGAGATGTTTCTGTTTGAATTTCAGATGCAGATGGTTTATGAGTACCAAAGTAATGATCTTTTGATAACGAATTAAAAATGAATTACTGATGAAGCGGTACATGCAATTCCTTTCAGTTCATGAAGACGTACATAAAATATTTTGCTTGAACTTAAATTGGCTGATTGTGTGTTGTATAATTGTAGCACTCTGATAATTGTTTATGTGATATTATAGCTGCGCAACTAATTAATAGGTTTCTTTCATCGATTTCATTGTTTTATATGGGTTTCGTTCGGAATTATTCGGATTTTTTAAAACAAAATATTTAGTTTTTTATATTTTAGTTATTTTACCTATTTCCATTTTTAGTGAGATTTTATGTGGGAAAAGGGGGAATCTTTGTGTAAACGAAAAAACCCATTATAATGACCATGTAAATAATGATTAACATTTATTTTTAAATACCTGTTGCATCGGAGAGAATGTATATTTACATTTTAGTATTATAAATCCAGATTTTCTTTACTTATATTTGAATAAAAAACAAAGTGATTCAAAGCATTTGTCCCCTTTAATATATTCATTCTAAATCCCAGCTACTTCAATTTTTTTTATGAATCTATTTAATTTTATGATCTAGAAACAAATCATTATATTCTTGTAGTACTTTCTCTTGTGATCCATAAATTTGAACGAAATACAGTGTAATTTATAGGTTTTATAAATTAATTAATACTTTTTGTCTTAAAATGTACAAAATACAGGTAGATCTAAGAAGGCATGTAATTAGTCTAACTGCTGTGAAAACAACGCAGCATTGTTAAGGCTTGAAAAAGGGGGCGGGGCCTAATTTATACGTGAAAAGTTTACTGTGACGTCACATAATAATATGATTTTTATGCATTTCTCATAATACCTGAAAATGTAATAATTTGCAACTTTTAATTGCACTAGCATAATAAACAACAGTAAAACTTATCAATGCATCAAAAAACTTGTTTGTTAAATCCAATGTAGCTGGTTATAAACAAAGCACTGATCTCGATGGACTTGTCAATCATGACGTCATTTTGGTAAAATTGACGTATTTCATGTACTGTGAGAGGCAGATTGAGGAATTTTTTAATAATGAAAAATGCGTTTTATTATCAAAAAAAATATTTTTTACATGTTTTAAGTAGTCGATAAATACCAATGTATATCCTTTGTTTAGTGCGACTATTTATTTACTATCAAGAGAATGCATTTTATTAATTATGTCGTGTTTTTATGTACAGGTTACGTATATTTTACAATGAGATGCCTCATAAAATCGTACTTTCGCAAGGGCATACACTTAATAGATCTTAACCATTTTTTGAATATAAATAAAGGATATGTTCCTTAACTTGAGAAGTGCTGCTGCTTTCTTTAAATCGAGGGCGTGATTTTATAAATACATAAAATATTTGGTAAAAGTCAAACCTAATTCGACATTGGCTTATTTACCTGAAAATTTGACTATTAAATTGCAAATTCTATTCAAAGCAGTAGCACTTTTCAGAAATTACAAAGTATTCAGAAACAATTAATAGCTTGAATTTTTAATTTCAACTAGGGTATGCCCTTGCAATATTGAAATTTGTTCATGACCTACATTCAGTACACGATCTAAGCATTTATCACGTGACTGTCCATCGATGGGGCCAAACTTCATACGGTATAGAGTGGGTTATACTATGCTATTTCCATAAGTTTTTAAGTTCTGTGATTAAGTTCAGCTTAATTCAAATAAATTCAGTTTTAATAAAATCCCCCTTTTTTGCACGTCTATTTTCCGTTTATTTCTTATGGTAGGCCTTAACAGTGCTGCGAAATTGATCATCATCATATTTATTGTTATTTGCAAGCAGGAAAAGGCGGAGTTGAAATTTTTAGAATAGGTAGAACACATCATAATTTGACTGCAACTTATCAGATTATTCTATATGTTATTTTTTTATTGATAAAATGTTGACAATATTTATTAATGTACTTTCCTTTTTATGGAGCAAAATTAAATGTCTAGTTTTGTTCTGAACAGCCCTCATATTTGTAAAAAAAAATCATCGAACTATTATTTTTGACATGTTTAAGTATGAATAGAGTTATGTATTTGATATATGCATTGTGTTTTCTCTTAACTGTGATATAAGACAAGACTGAAACAAATATATGACAAAAAAACCTACAGTATTCTGTTTTGTTTTGTTTTTTTTTTTTTTAATTTTTGTCCCTTTGTTTAATTGAAGAAATAATTAATTTTGGGATGCAATACTAAAAGAAGCATTAATCGTTAAATAAAGATTATGACACTCCAACGAATTCAGAAAGCCAGATTTGTTATTATTATGATATACAAGTGTAAACCTAAATTAAAAAATGTAAATTATTATTCATAATTTGACAAATGATCGTTCACAATTTGTTAATTGTTATTTCTGAACAAAACTTGACAAGTGTAAAATCGTGTAACTCGTACACTTTCATTTTGTTATATTTGTGATATGTAAATTGGTATTTCAAGACCTGTAAATTACTTATTCGAGCGTCATTCAAAAAATACGCAGACAATATTCCTAATCGTCATGTTATTATAACAAGATTACAGGACAACACATTTTTGTAAATAAGAACATTTATTTTGGCCATGTATGAAGTTTCATTCCATTTGATTGAATTGAAGTATTGTTATCCATTTTTTTAATGTATTGTTACCACGGAGCACGGTTAACCAACATGGTAACGTCAAAAAATTGTTGAGGAAATTTTTCAAAATTACTCTGTTTTCTAATTCATACAAAGTTTGTTGCGTCCTCCCCGTGCATAAAACGTATCCATTACACTTGATATCTATTTTGCTAACAACTGTGCAATAGCTTGAACTAGATTGTCAATTATGTTTAATGACGTTCCTATCTCTTTTGACAAGATATTTAACTAAAACCCGTTTCTTTGCAGACCACCCATCGTTTGATTTAAACTTGCTTACAATTAAATACATATACATGGCTTGTATTTTATATATTTCCTGGTTAATACAGATTTTCAAAGAGCATTAAAGAAGTTTCCGCAATGCAAAGCAAAATTGTATTGCTACTCGCTACTCCATGAAGTCCTCCCATGTCATAGATTTTTGCCTTTTTAAACAAGTTCATACGTATATAATAACTCATATCTTTTAAACAGAGCGATATATTACACTACTTGATATTTATAATCCTTAGTAATTAAGCAAGACTGAATTTAAACATGAAAATTTATTTTGTTTCAGTTCCATTTCTTCGAGTTCTTGCTATACATGTAGATGCTATAAAGTACAAATTAAAAAATACTCAATTTTAATGTTGCTCTGTGACCCATTTTCGCTGTTCTAAACCTTTATAATGTGTATTAATATGAAGATATATTCAAAGTTTTGAACTCAGATTATTCGAATTCGTTGCTAAAATATTTGTATCAATCCTGGGTATAATCTGACGTTACATGTAAAGAAAAAGTTAGGAAAATAGTCTTCGAACTTTTTGAATGACCCTCGTATATACGTTAACATTTTGCTAACGCCTATTGAAAATGTGTCCCGTTTTATGTCGTCAGTAATTTCGGTGAATGTGAATTTTATAAAGTCATTTTTTCTCTTTTTTTTGCATTTATATTAGAATGGTTACTGACTATTCTGAAAATTAATAATATTTAATTCATTTTAAATTTCTTTACTCCTAACTCTAAATATTTGCATTTCTTAATTTGAATCAGTAATTCAAAATGCGCGACTGGACCGAAAACTCCGATGAGCAGAACGGAGGTGACGGAGTCATACGTACATTTAATTGAACGAAACTACCATAAGGATAGATAAGATATGAAGGAATCTTTGCTGCATATATTTCTTAAGAATTATGTAAATAACCAGCCACCATGCAGTCAAAGTCCAAATGAACAAGAATTCTTCTCGAGTGTACAAATACACTGAACCAAACTTCTAAGTGTTCAATTTTAAGCGTTAAAGAACAAATACATACAATAAAGAAAACCTTTAATTCATGGTTAATGATGCATATGTCAGTTTGATGTTGCGTAAATTTCAAGTAAATATTTTTCAGAATTTTAAGCAAAGTGTCAAGGAAATGATGTACCCTCAAAATGAAATTTCACAAAAATAATCTCTCAGGAGTAAAACCACTCACTCTAATTACTGTTGGATACCACGTACCCCTGAACAAGAGATTGACCAATCTGCTGCCACACCTACTGCATTTATCTTTCCAAACCGTTGTTATTGTGTGATGGGGAGGGGCTTTAACATTCCTTTTAAAAATCCCAAACGTGTCCAATGGGATTCAAATCCAGGATTTTGACAGTGTATCATCACACAGAGACCTTTTGCTCAACATCATTGGACGTTTAGCACGTAAGTGCATCGCTTTACGGATGATTTGGACTGTTTGAGCGGATATTAGGCTGTCGAGAGCACGGATTTCTAATCATTTTGATACAATTGAAATTGTTTGTTTCAGGACAAGTTAACATTCTTTTAACCTAGCTAAGGGGAAATGTTGGCCTCAGACGAAGATCAAAGTCACTTCCAGATTGGTTAAATTTTGTCAAAAGCACACAAATTATGATAAATTGTTGATGAAAATGACACACAGCCTGCCCCAAAATGTAATTTAATGGGTTGGTCCAGATATCAACATTCCAAGGGCTCTCCATTCTATCTCAATGGTCATTTTGCCAATGATTTATGAGTGTTTTTTTGTTTTTTTTTTTAGGAAAACCGGTTTTTCTAATTTGATAATGACCACAAAAAGATTCTAATAACACAAAACACCTACCCAAAAGTACAGATTTATTGTTTTTAAGCTTTGTCACGGAACATCGGTTTTAATCGGTGATAATTGGTTTTCTTCTACAATTGATGAGAAACTCAGTTGTGGTAATAATGTGAAAATAGCATTCTATGAAGTAGTTTTTGAATAATCACATTTATTAAAGTGAACACTTAGACGTTTTTTAAGTGTACATGGAGCAATGGATAAAAAGGACAAGATATGATAACGGCTGAATCTGCAGGCCCCTTACTTAATGTAAAAATCAGAACAATGGTCATAATCTCATAGTTTGTAGTTAAGAAGTTAAAATGATGCTTAAGAAGTTAAAATGATGCTTAATTTAAAACAAGTACTAATTTAGATTAAAAAATTACATGGAAGCCACTAAAAGGTTCAGAAGTAGGACATTTTCAAGAATTTATTCATTTCTGGTGGAATTTCATCATATTGTAGATACTTTTCTCTTCAGAATACATAGAGCACAAGCTTTTATATCTGCGATTTTTACACATAAATTGCATCTGATATTAGAGTATAAAAATTTGGTAGATAGGGAAGCGAGTGTTCTATGATTTCCGAAACAAATTGTGCTGTAAAATCGATGAAAATTTGCATAAAAATGATAAATGTCGAAAATTGATATATTTCCTGACCTCACCGTGACCTCTGTAAACTCTAAATCTTAGAACCAGGACCCATTTTGTAGTAGGGGTTACAACGGGCTTTTATGGATAATAAACTGAATGGATCATTCCGAAAGACACCTTAAATAGGGGGCACAATACTGGTATTACCCTAACTTGTCCTTTGTACAGATATATGCCAGATCTTGTAACTGAACTTGTTTGGCCTAGACTAGAAGGATATTTACTAAAAATTAACTTTTTGTTTCATTTTTGAATTCCAATCTGAAATTGCTTTTAATAAGGGTATATACATGTAGTTTTTATAAAGAAAACCTGTTTTGTTTATTGACACTCTTAAAAGTGAAACAGCAAAGGATGTAATAATTAGGTATGTCAACAAATAGTCGACTATTCGACTGTCAGTCGAATGGACCAACGATCGAATAATGAAACGACATTCGAATATTAAACAAATGACAGAAAATGTGATAATGAAATTCTCATTTCAAAATTGAAAAAGCATCAATCCTCAAACTGACTAATAAGAGCTCAAACACAGTAACAGAATATATCAAATAATTTTCCACGATGTACATATGGAAAATACAGTAATTGCATACTGCGATAATTATTTCTCAATCACTGACTTTTTTGTTATTGTACGTAGTAAATTATGCAACGCTATACTCGACTATGAATTTTGTAAATTGAATTGTACCAATTATATTTATATACTCTAGGAACTTCAAATGCTTAGGAACACACAATATTTGCATAGCCCTGAATTTGAAACTTCTATAATTATGAAAACATTATCTAACATATCCAAGACCTATTGATAGCTTAGGTGATCATTAATTGAACAGTATTTAACATTTTCATCAGACGTGTAGATAGTGTGCGTTTACAATTCCCTATACTTTATTTCAATTAATAAGCTTTCAAAAAGACTGATATAAGAATAATAATAAATGTTCCGAATAGTCGACTATCTTTCGAATAACTTAATCGAATGTTCGACTAGATCTTTATACTAAATGAATGCCTTTCAATGTTTGTGTTAAATAAGTGCTTTACTTTATATATTTTAAAATATTTACTCCTTTTTCTCCAAAATTTTTACCAATTTGTCTGGTCATACAGTGTAATGTATTTTTCTCTTCTGGCCACACACTTTAATTTTCAATGATGGAAAACATAGAAATTAATTTGAAATAACATGTATTACCCGGCAACAAAATTATTTTGAAATCATATGTATTACCCTGTAAAAAGTGTAAGTATAACTTACAATGCATGCATAAGTTTTAATAGAGGTACTTTCAGTCACATATTTTGCAGACTTTTGGAGTCCAAAATGACTGCATTTTTTACCTGTTCTGAATTATTTCGGAATTAAATTGAATATACAATTTATCTTTATAATTATAACTGTTTGGACATCATGACCCATTGTTGTCAGGGTATCTGAATGTATCAGTAAGTTTACAATTTTCCAACTTTATTAAATTTGTTCTTTTAATTTTCCATTATACTCATATTTTATTCTTATTATTTTTAAACAAAAAATGTATTAACAAGGCAAAATATAATTATTACATTTCGCTGTATTACATTGTATGTCGAGATAAACGCAATCGTTTCTACTGTCATTTAGGGGGCGGGGTAACGAAATGTTTTTTACATTTAAAAACCTTCTCTTCATGATTTACTGTTTGGGATGATTTCGATACAATGTCAATATAACATTAATGTTTTTAAAAGTAAAAAAAAAATCAAAAAGGCTTAGGTCTAATAATGAGTTTTCATAACTCTATTTCTTTAATAGTTGTAGATTTTGGCACTTTAAGTCATCAGTCCTTAATCGATACTATCTTTAAGGAATCATTATAAGAAGAGAACACTTTGCATAGAAGAAATATTAATTGAACGTATGCCAATGTTTTTATTACATTTATTCAACACTTCATTGGACATCTAATCGCATATAAGAAATTCGAGAAATCAGATACAATCCAATATTATCCAATGTAACAGTAAATACTAGGATATTGCACTGTTATACCTTTTTATTTAACCTTTTAAATGGAATGCGTGCGCATATGTTGTATAGGAGGACGCAAGGTGAACAGAAATATCAAAACAATGTCAGCATACCAGATTGTAAGTATTGAATTATTTTACACTAGAAATAGCAATTGGGATTCGAAGTCAGCTTTTTTCCTATCTATACAAACTACATAAACATAGGAAATAATGTACTTTACTACGTGTTTATTATGCTTACTTTCGGTTTGAATATCCAATTTAAGAATGTAATTTAAGGTAGGTGTATTTGATTAAAAAGGGTGAATCCAGTGTACCTATGACATTATTGTTTCCATAAAATGTAAATCAATTCCTTTGGAAGAGGTTTTTCCAAAAACGTAAAGTTCTCCACCTTAAATTATTTTGACTTTTCGTACAAATAATGTACATGTGGCTGGATAAAAGTAACTTGAAGACATGCCTGAAATTTTTCTTTTCAAAATACTTTTTTATACAATAGTATATTAGCAAGATTAGGGTCTCAAATAGCTCTCTAACTACATTTATTACAAACAGGTCCAATGGCATATTTCATATTTCCATACAATATCCAACACATTGAATTCAAAATCAATATTTTTTTGCTGATGATGCATACCTAAATAAGGAAAAGTCATTTAGAATTTTACAATGTACGAATAGGCATCTAGTGCAACTAAGTTTTTTTGCTAAATCATAGGGTTATATATTGAACAACAAAAGTGTAAAAAAAAAATTAATAATTTTGCTGACAATGCATAATTGTTTGATAAGGATGAATTTATTGAAGAATCATTCAGAATAAATCAGCACACGAATAAGCATCTGGTGCTACAATATTTTTTTTTTTTTGCTAAAATTATTTATTGAAAACTCAAAATGTAAAAATCCCATTAGTAATAGAAGCAAAATATCTTGCTGGACTTGAGGGTAAATCTGGTAGATAGAATATGCATAACTATATATTAATGTTATGTCATGTGTGTGTGTATCATGTTATTGTAATTTATTTTTAAATTCAGATATGAAGCTCTTGATTACACTGGTGAAGTCATTAAGTTTATTCATACCTTTAGTGCGGAATGAATTCATTCTGTGCATCTTCAAAATTTCCTTGTTTTTTTCTCTCTGTCATTTACCCCTTTTAGATTATATTCAATAACCACTACTGCCACGTCCTTCAATCTTTGACCTTCAAGGGTAAAATGTTCTACAAAGGGTTCATTGAGGTTTCTCGGTCTTAAAATTCGAATGGAGTATTGACTCTCCTTTGGCGATCTTACCTTACACTAAAGCACCGTTTGATTCAAACTTTGTTACTGATGTTAATGTGAATGAACTTTAGCGTGCATGTTTTTCTAGGGAAAACCTGCCTCCTATCAAAAAGTAAATTAAGCGGTGCAAAATGGCATTATGTAACAAATGTATCGTAAAAGTCTCATTAAATTCCCTCCATGATACAAGAGAAGTTGGATGCCCAAAGCGTTAAGGACGGACGGGTGGATGTACAGCTAGCTATTATATAGACGTACAGACGGACACATTCATCACTTTATATACCCCACCCACGCAGGGAGTATAATAATTACACTACAAAATGTGTATTCTAGCAAAATTTTTGAATTGATAATATTATACTGTGGAAATATAAAGTACCTTTTTGATGTACATAATCCTTTTGTCAAAAAGTACATGTAGTTTCAGCATTCACATTTTTAAATTATAGTTTTAGCTTTATTAGGCGTTTAAAGTAGCACATGAGTCATTCCCTCATCGGAACCATTTATTTATATTGACAAAAGAAATAAGACAAAAATTATTATAAAAACAAGCTGTTGTTAATCCAAGATGCTACCAAACAACTCTATACGGGGGACAAAGGATGAAAACATCGCAGCACTGTTACAGGTACTTGGACACAGATTTGAAGTTATTATTTTCTCTATAATATTACGACTTCTATATTTTAATACCATTGCCACTTTTCCTAAGGATTAAGAATAAAGTTAAAATTTGTGAAAGTGCAAGGATTTGTCAATCAAACCCGCCCAAAAAATTAAAGTTTTAATAACTTTTAAATGAAATAAGATTTTTAATAAATTTTTGTGTGAAATGCTATTAAAAAATAATATTCGTGATATTATACAGGAAAAATGAGAAAATATTAACTTCAAATCTGTGTCCAAGTACCTTTAAGGCCTACTATAAGAAATCAACGGAAAATAGACGTGCAAAAATTGGGAATTTTTTAAAATTGAATTTATTTTAATTAAGCTGTTTTATTATCACAGACCTTTAATGCTTCTGGAAGTAGCATAGTATAATCCATTCTGTACTGTATGAAGTTTAGTCTGATCGATGGACAGTCACGTGATGATTTCATAGTTAGTGCACCAAATGTAGGTCATTAACAAATTTCAATTTCGCAAGGGCATACCCTAGTTAAAATTGAAAATTAAAGCTAATAATAGTTTCTGCATACTTCTTAGTTTATGAAGAATGCTGTTGCTTTGAATAAAATTAGCGTTTGTATGTTTACATTTTCAAGCAAATAGACCAATGTCGAAATATGTTGACTTTTACCAAATATTTTGCGTACTTATTAAATCACGCCCTCGATTCAAAGAAAGCAGCAGCACTTTTCAACTTTAGGAAAATATCTTTTATCTTTATTCAAAAAAATGATTCAGAACTATACAGTGTATGCCCTTGCAAAAGTACGATTTGATGAGGCCTCTCGATGTAAAATATACGTAACCTGTTCATAAAACACGGCATAATTAATAAAATACATTCTCTTGGTAGTTAATTATTAATCGCAAGGTTACACATTGGTATTAATCGACTTTTAAAAATCTGCAAATAATATTCCGTTTAATATTAAAACGCATTTTCCATTGTTAAGAAATTCCTCAATCTACCTCTCACAGCACATGAAATATGTCATTTTTACCAATATGACGTCATGTTTACAAGTTCATCGCGATCAGTGCTTTATGTATAACCAGCTACATTTAGTTTGACTAGCAACTTTTTTTTAATGCATTGATAAGTTATTTTGTAGTTTATTAAGCTAATACAGTTAAAAGTTACAAATTATTTTATTTTCAGGTATTATGAGAAATGCATAAATGTCATATTTTTGTGTGACGTCACAGTAAACTTTTTCTTGTATAAATTAGGCCCCGTCCCCTTTTTCAAGCCTTAACAATGCTGTAATAAAAATGTGAATTTTTTTATTTCGATCTCATTTTGTTTTAAGATTTGTGTACGATCAATATATTTACATTCAATGTTTATGAAATCGACATAAGATTACCCTATAATCATCACAAGCGGATCCAGAATTTTTTTTCCAGGGTGGTCAACCCCAGTCCCAAAAAAAATCATCCCAGAAATTTCTTGACACGCTAAAATAAATAAAACAAAAACGTTAAATCGCCCAAACCTTAAAACCTTTTCCAAACCAATTGAAGACGAATTTGCGTTAACCAGGGAGGTTTGTATTTTCCAAGGGTGGTCCAAGGTAACTTTTTTATTGCTTTAGTATATCAGTTTGATAGCCATGCAAATTCCAACCGACCCTGCCCTAGATCCGCGCATGGTTATGCGTTTTTTATTATTATCATTTGTGTTACTTTGAAACGTTAACCAGATTCAACAATTCATTATAGTTACAAACTATAAACGGATTAATTTACAGGTAGAAATATTCCTTCATGAAAAAGGGGATGACAAAGAATGAAATTAAAGGCAATGTTGATATCGATATTAATAGTTGTGGTACGTATATATAACTATTAAGAAAGTATTGGAATTTTTAAAAAGTTAAAAAGGTAATCTTTTAATTTTAGAATAATTATACAATAAATTTTGTAATTATAAGCATGTTTTGCAGTATATTTAAAAAGGCACAAATTATGATTATGAAACAAAATTAAATGCCTATTTTACATTTGTAGGGCTACATATGCCTGCATATAAACGCTTGTAAATGGTCAGATAGAACCTTGGATTTTGTTGCTTCTTGTCCAGCAACAAAAGACGAGACAAATACAGCAGCAAGAAACAAAAGATGCGAAGTCGTTGCGTGGAGGCAGAACTGTACTAAACCATCTAACTTCAAGTATCATTGTCTATATAATTACCGTCAAAAGGGATTTGTTGAAGTTTGCTCCGTGGAGAGCTATATTCATGGTATGAATTGAAAAAAGGATAGCAATTGAATATAAAAAATTTCTAATCAGAAGGAAGTCGCAAAATTCCAAATGATCATCCAGTTAATCGTATTAGAATACAACAATCTACCTTTTCTTGACACATTCATATTCTCTTTTTTTGTATGTATCATATCAAAACGAATGAGTGCATAATTTCTTCATAGTCAATTTTTTTTCTCAAAAAACCTTCCGTTATCATGCAATATTGAATGTTGCTATACTGTAAGTGGTGGTTTCATCATCCAGAGGGCAGTATTATTTTTTGATAGACATAATTTTCGACAACTCAGATTCAACTTAGTACATGTATTTACACAAAAATAACAACTGCAATATCAACTTTGTACAATAGAGAAATCTATCCAAGTATTTATTCTCTAGAACAATATATGTTATCCTTTAAAACATTCTTTTATATGTTTTAGGTGTATGCATCGTGTTTGATTCACGATTATCAAAGATACAGCCTGTTTACAATGCAAAATGTAGAGACAAATCTGCATCGTGCCCAGCGAAATACCTGTCGAGTGAGGGACATCTGTGTAAGTACTTGATTACCAAAAAAAAACTTTATTTACAATTAGTGCAATCATATGTAAGTCTTTCATACGATTCGTTTTGCACCACATTACATGCAGAGAAATCATTATATTACTGTACATAAAAATACTGTAAAACACTTACTATGGTTACATGTAACAATAATTGCAAATTAAACAATTGTCAGCGATTATCCTAGTATTAATAAAATGTCTGAACGTAAATTATACATTTGCATATGGAGTAAATTTGATAACACGATATTAAGTTGATAAATGTTTAAACTACATAGATAAGAGAAACTTATGATAAATTGTTAAAATAATGAAATCATTATATATTTTGTTATTACCATCAACATTTTTGTTATAAAATATCAAAAAAAAAAAAAATAAAAACATTCACTAAAAAAAACATATTCCGATTAAACATGATAATCTAAGATTTCAGTTTAACTCTGATTTTTAAGTAATTTCAAATGGTTTTCATAAAAATAAAACATGTCCTATGTTGCAAGTAGAAAAGTGAAGTTTATGTCATTGTCGACACTTCAGATTTTTAGGGGCATACCATTTTATCCAATCTTTATGTCTTTGCGACGTGTTAGCGCAGGTGGATTTCCAATGTACCGATGCCGTGCACAAGTACCAGCTCCTCTCAGTCTCTTGCGAACAATGATTTTTTTTCATCCAGAAATTATAGCAGCAGTTTTACACAGTTTCTGAATCGCATGTGGTGTTGAAAAAAAAGGGGGGGGGGGTCGCGGACCTGCAAGGGTGTGGTTACCTGGGGACGGCCTATTCTTTGTCTTCCTATGATCTTTGACGACTGCAAAGCCAATTGATGTATTTCAAATGCAGTTGCAACTTCCTGTTGAGTAGCTCCGATTAGTAGCATCCTTAGCCCGGTTGCTTTCATCTTTGTTGAGGCGTGGCAGAGCAGCATCAATATTGCAATCAAATTTTAAATCGGAGTGTTTAGTGTGTTTCTAAATTCTAAATATCAATGAAAGTAGACATCCGATATAGAAGAAATTATGAAAAAAACTACTTTAATAAACACGTTTAATCAAGGGAAATAATTCAACTCTTGGGAATTAAAACCCGATGTTGTTCTTTAAACAGGTCACATATATCCGATGATAAAAAGATAGTTGTTCCATGTACATTTTCAAAATAACCTTGTCGAGTAAAACAATATGCGTTTCTCTTTTTGTTGAGTATATATTTTTGACCGTTTTATACTTTTATCTCATAAATATTGAAAAAATTGAAAGGCATATACTTGAGGAAAAAAAATAGAAGGTTTGTGAACGGATCAAGAACGGAGAATAAATTTTCATCATTAGCATGTTTAACGAGTATAAGGAAATACACCATTTAAGAATGATTCTCCTAGATTTATGGTGAAATAAACAATAAAATCCCACTCTACCGATTCAAAAAGTTTTTCAACATAGGATTTTAGGAGCAAACCAAGTTGTTTTACATGTATGACTACATTTTTATAAGGTAATCTATAATTTTTTTATGCTCTTTGTCTCTGATGTAATTTCTGATTCCCAAGTTGAGCTTCATCCTTCCCATATATTTACTCGTAAATTGATTGCATAAATCATAATGTTATTCTTTCATTATCCATATGAAAATATTTTTCAGATGCAACTTGTCCTGAGTTATTGAACTTGACATTTTTTGATATAAAAGGTGGTGACAAAAATCAGAATACCCCGGAGAACAAAAGCCAGTAAGTATTTATTCTTTTTTATTTCGTCATCAAAACCGTTTATTTTGTCAAAACATCAGCATTTCATTCCCTCAAGGAAGAATATCTTTCTATTCATTGTAACGAAAAGATTCCCCCTCTTACATGTAATATCTATTACTCGATGTTTATAAATAAAACACAATTAAATTATTATTGTAAAAAAAAATTTGCAACGTTAGTTTTGCTATATTCTGTGATAGAAACAGCAAGAAGACGTGAACTTTTAACTTACTGACACATTCTACCATGTTTGTGAAATATGATAATATAGATAAATTGACTTTACGAGAAGCGCTGTCTTTTACAGTTGACGAATTATTCTTACACTTGGATAGTGTACGGAAGCTCTTTTACGATATAAATATTAAGCCCAGCCTTTAATTAAAAAAAAATGATAGGCTATTTCAAAGCACAAATAAGTTGCCCTTGAATAAAACGATAATTATCCTACCCCCAAATCCAGGGCATATCAGTGCACCTATGGTGACGTAGCAACGTTTTTAGAAGGGGGCAGGCAGAGAAAAAAATACTAACCAGCAAAAGTTGACGGACAAAAAAAGCCAATCAGCCTTTCAGCTGACATTTTCAATAGTAAAAGTAATATAAAAGCCATTTTGGGAACAAAAGTGGGGGGTCAGCCCCCTCCCGCTGTTGCTACATGCCGTCACCATTATTGTGACCATTCGATAGGATTTCTTATCCATTATCAATTCTGTACCTCCGTAGATAATACAGGTTGAAATGCCCAAGTAAACCGTCGGTTGTAAAAGTCATTGCTTCACGTAAAAGTCCAATGTACATATACATATATTTTGCCAATCAAATTTTGCGTTCGTTTCATTTCCAAACATTCATATTGTAAGAAAGGTTTTATATGTGGTTATTTCTTAGGACTGGGGTGTATCTGGCTGTTATAATACCAATTTTAATCATCATTATTATCAGCAGTATATCTTTCTTTATCTACAAGAGGAGACGTAATCGCCGTAGTCGACGTATGTATACATGTATATACTTTTTAGTATGACTTCTGACTTTTGTAAATGTGTTTATGTTCAACATTTAAATACCTGAACGATAAAAAACAGTTTCTTTAATATGTTCATCACTATATATAATCAATTAAAGAAAGATGTTGAGATAATATCTGTGTCAGCAAAGACAACTTTTACCTTAAGGGTGTAATTGTTGATTTTTAACAATCGCTTTTCCGTATAGATTTAAAGCATATCAGCCAAATTGGTACACAATTCAAGTACATAAAGATACACAAACCTGTTATATTGCCTTTAATTTTCAACAAATGGTGTTTCCATTTTTGCAAAAAAAAAAAAATTCTTTGATACTCTTTCAAAATACTATTACTCAAACAGTTTTGATACAGTTTCAATGTAGAAGTGTAGCTCTATATTTGAGAACAAAATCGGACACATGAAGCTCTGTATAAAACTTTGGTTTATGTCGTGTGGCAATGCACTTTGAAAAAAGTTACCCACTTTGAAATTTTTTTTTCAAAGTACATGTACCTTAAATTTGGGACAAAATCAACGCACTTTGAAAAACAATTTTCAAAGTGCGTAAAATTTGGAACACACTCGATGCACCTTGAGAAAACTTTTTCCAGAGTGTAACACATTTTGAAAAACATATGTATAGAATGAAAAGTCTATACTTGTATTCCAGTAATATAGAGTATCAATTTGTAATAATTATATCTCTCGAAAAATTATTAATTCACATTTACTCAATCAACTTCATTGAGAACAAAGAAAAGACGAGTAGAAGGTCCTGCAGCCCATGGCCAACTCTTTTTTTCCTTAAATGTGTATTATACATAAACGTCAGTAGCAAATTGAAAGAGGACCGCCCTTCCCCCACCCCAAGGTAAGCCATAATTTACAATCCCTATATTATGCATATCTTTCAAAAACATTTATGTGCCTACCCCCCCCCCCCCCCTTGCCTGTACAGATGCTACACCCAAATATACAAGATACAAGATATTTTATTTACCAATCAAAGGCCCCGGGGGGCATTTCAACATACATAAATGTACAATTTAAACATTCTCTTTTTTTTCATATAACAATATAATTAATTCTTTTTTTTAACAGTTATATAAATGACCAAGTTACATAATATTGTTCTCAGTGTCACTGATCATACATAATACAAGTGTCCAGAAGAATGTCGTACATAATACAAGTGTCCAGAAGAATGTCATTAATAACAAAACAATACAAAAAATGTAATGCTATACATGTATAAATTTAAATGGCTTAGCCTTAGCATGCATAAACATGATGACAGAGTCTATGTATTTATACATTGGTTCTTTTATCATTTTCAGAAATAAATTTTCCAAGTAAGCATTAAATATCTTCATTTTCATTATTCAATATCCATATAAGTTTTTCATCAGGTGTCAAAGAAGAGAAGTTTGGGCTGATTTTTGATATTGTTTCCATTAATTGCAACCTTTCATTGCTGTATTTTGGACAAATGAGCAAAAAATGTTGTTCATCTTCTACTTCCTGTGTATTACATTGAGAACACTTTTTAGATTCAGGGGGAAGTCCTGCATATCTTCCCCTTTCAATATTTAATTGATGTGCAGAAATGCGAAGTTTAGTTATATTTTTTCCTCTGATCATAGTTATTGACAATGTGGAGATAGTGTTCTCTTCCAAAATTGGTTTTGAAGATGGAATAAGTTCTTAGTTTACCATCATTTTGCTGCCTATTTTCTCTATACCATTGGTTTATAAAATATTGTTTTATAATACATGATGACTTCTTTTTAAATGAACAGACACTATACTTTGATAAGTCAATATTTTTGAAAGCAGTTAAATGACCCAAAATTGTCTCAATGGATGCAAACCATGATGGTTTATTTTGTAAAAAGAGGCATTTTGAGACGGAGTATGCTTCTTTGAGTAGGACAAAAGATGGATGTAATGTTTCTAGTCGAAACCAGTAACTTAGCATAGCTTTAATAACTGAATGATACAGTGGAAATCTACCTAGCTCAGATAGAACTGCAAAGTTTGTTGATTTTCTATGCACTCCAAGAATAGCCTTGCAATATTTAATGTGCATTGTTTCACATTTTAATTTGTTGAATATTTTGTCCATTGTAATATCTTTGTTTTGAAATTTAGAAGCAAAGGGGTTGAAAGCCCCCCAAATTTCACAACCATAAAGTAGAATAGGAGAGATGATATGATCAAATAAATGAAGGTTAATATTGACATTATGACAATTGTACATAATCTCTCTCTGTAATTTTGAACATGCTTTCAAGGCCTTCTTATATAATTCATTTTGAGCAAAGGTAAAAAAACCTGAGTTACAAAAGTAAATACCAAGATATTTGTATTGTTGAACACATTCAATCAACTTATTTTGAAAAGAAAACTTTTCTGATAATTTTTTTCCAGCTTTGTTAAAAATCATAATTTTTGTCTTAGATAAGTTAACATTTAGACACCAATCATTACAATATTTGTCCAATATATCAAGTTTTGATTGTAAACCACTCGAAGTGCCTGATAGCAAGATTAAATCATCAGCATACATTAAACAGTGTATTATGTGATCATTAAGAGTAACAGAATCTAAAGAGTTATCCATGTATTTTGGTAAATCATTTATAAATATTTTAAACAGATTTGGGCTCAAGTTGTCCCCTTGCTTAACACCTTGCTGGATTGGAAAAAAATTCGATTATGGATTTTTATACATGAAATACTTCTTTGATACATTTCTTTGACAATATTGTAAAACTTTTGTCCAACTTCTATCTGAAGAAGTTTAATTTTTATCCCAGTATGTATAACAGTATCAAAAGCCTTATGAAAATCTACAAAACGTGCATAAAGTTTCCCATTCTTTTCATTGCAATATTTATCAAAAATACATTTTAGAATAAACATATGATCACATGTTCTGGCTTTCTTGGTAAATCCTATCTGACAATCATCAATGATTCTGTTTTCCATAAAAAATTTGTCTAGTCTGTCAAAATACTATTAAAAATTTTTCCTATTGCACCTGTTACAGTGATCCCTCTATAATTATTTGGATCATTCTTATCCCCATCTTTATGAATTGTAGAAATATATCCACATGACCAAGCCTTGGGATATCTCCCACTGGACAACACCATATTGAATAATTTAACAAGACAGGATAGTAAAACATGCTGCCCACATTTTAACATACTATTTGAAATATTATCTAAACCAGGAGACTTGTTATGTTTAAGTTTAGCAATTGCTTGAGATATTTCCGATTGTTTTATAGGAAAATCTAGTGTATTGAATATCTTTGTGGATTCTATAGCTGTTCAAGACTTTTCTGGAGAATATTTAATCTTTCGGAATAAATTTCCTTGGTTTTACTTAAACTCTGAAAATGATTTAGCCAAGTACTAGGATCTGAATCAATGGAATTTTCTGATTCGTCTGTCTTACACGAGTCTCCTTCTTTAAGATCATTAATCAGTTTCCAATACATTTTTGGATTTTCTTCATGCAAGTTTTCTAATTGGGATAAAATTGACCTCTGGTACTCTTTACGTGCCCTTTTTCTACTTTTTGTATACTCTCTATATAATTTATAGTAGTGACCTCTTACTTGTGGATCTGTAGGATACCTTGACAATATCTTACCATAGCTGATTAAATTCATATGTTGCCTATGTAAATTACTGTTAAACCATTTTTTAGATTTAAACTTTTTTGATTTGGGAATTTTTTTTTTAAGTAAAGAGTTGTTAGCTGCCTGAATTATAATATTGTTAAATTCATCTGATGCCTCATCAACAGTTTCTTGTGCAATCTCAATGCTTTCTTATTTCTTATGAAAGTCCGATAACTTATTTTGAATATCTTTTGATGAGAGAGCAATTAAAAAGTTATGTTCAGAGTTATCATCCCATATATAATTGGTGGATAATAGTTTTGTATTTAGAATTTTGTTTTTAGTTTTTTCAGGTATAAATTTGAATTTAGCAGATAAGGACCATTCAAATTCACAGTGTGTATCAGAGAATGTTGGAATAAAGTCTGCTACTTTGAAATACAAAATGTTTTCAAAAAAGTCTTCAGATACAATGACGTAATCAACAATACTTGAACCATTAGGAGTATGACATGTGAACTGACCAGACATATCTCCAAGGACTCTGCCATTCAATATTCGAAACTGATTCCCAATACAAAAATCTAATAGATCTCGACCTCGACCATCAATCTTTTGATCTTTACTCTTCCTTTGTAATATGATTTTATCAGTGTTGTAATTACGATCTACAGGGATAAATTGATGGTCATCATCACAAATGAAATCTGACTCAATTGAAGTTCTACCATTAAAATCTCCACACAATAAGATATCTCCTTTCCCTTTTAGATTTCCAATATCTTTGTTAATGTTGTTCAGAATATCAATTTCAAGTCCTTGGGAATAAGTTGATTCACTGGGTGGATTGTACACAACACATATAAATAAATCCTGATCAAATCCAAAATAAGTTTTCTCAAGTTTTATCCATTGAAAGTCAGGGCTTGTATTTTGTAAAATCTTTACGTAGGGTCGTAGATTTTGTTTAACAAGAATTCCCAATCCTCCAAAGTACCTATTATTTTGTTTTGTAATTTTTCTATGAGTAAAATAACAGTAAAATGAGCGCAGATTGATAATCTTGTAATTGGGATCAAGATGCGTTTCTGCTAAGAAAACAAAATCATATTTGGATATTTCCTTGATAAAGCTTGGGTCCTTCGTTTTGTCGAAATGTTTTGATATTAAACCACCAACATTCCAGAAACACATCTGTAAAGATTGGCTTATATGTATCATTTTCTTGTATCAAATTTTTTTTTTTAAAACTTCTATTATAGTGTCTCAAAAACTCTTAAAACTTTTAGAAAATATGTAATTAGATCCCTTCTGTAACGTTTCCTTTTATATCATAACCAGGTCAAAAATATGTTAGGATAAGGATACAACATTAAGTGATATAGAAAGAAATGTATACACACACACACACATACATATATATTCATATGTATATATATGTGTATACATATATTCACACACACATACATATATGCTTAAGGTGTTGTCACAGTGCTATCATTTTCTTTTCCCTTTTTTTTTTTAACTCAATTGATATCAAATCTGTACACATTTTAGGACTATTGGCAAAAGACACCAAGGGACGATGCTTATGGAATTCAGATAACTTATGTACCTCTTCCACCTCGTGACAAGTGCAAATAATCTAAAAATATTTACAATGAAACAGGTGGTATTTTTGTTTGTAATTTCAAACAGAAACTTATGAATTATATTATCTAATAGACTGGAATGCATATTTCAAGGATCATTGACAGGTGACACAAAGGGACGATGCTCTTGGAATGCAGATAACTTTTGTAATGTAACTGTTCCACCTTGTGTCAGATGCAAATAATCCTTAAATATAGCACAATTAAAGAATTACTTAATATGTGTTACATGATTGCAATATTAGTAACAAATCCTATACTGTATAAAAGGTTCTTTACACTGCAACAACTAGTAAACATAAACAATGAACAATGAAGAAGCTTAGTCTTTGTACTGGCGGCGAAATCCCCGGAATCTGGACTGAGACCTGCTTCTGGGTCTCCGTTGGCCTTGTTGTGCAGTAATTCCCAGTACGGAGTGGATCATCCATTTGAGATTTTTTGCCAGAAAAGATACACCCTTCGTTGATAAGTGGTATTTATCCTCAGCTAATTGATCCTGAATAGGGTTTCCATTGGATGACATATTCCCATGATCAACATAATGTAAAGGATCTTTCATTTCCTCCACCCGTTGTTGTATAAGGGCATTGATTATCCTGCCGTTGGAATTGTGCTTGGTATCGTCTCCTCTCGGCGTAGTGCCACTTATAATTATTTTTGTATTTGAGCATTTGGATATGATGATATCTACAATTTCAAATAGCTTCTCTACACAAGCACTAGGTGAGTTGGATTTTAAATCATTTGTCAAGGAGTGTAAAATAATGACATCTGGCGATCCCTGATATTCAATTATAAACTTTTTGGTTTTATCCAATGTTGTTTTGACAACTTTTATGGTGTGAACTGCTACTGACAGTTTGTCTTCTTTGATGTTTTTGACATTTGAAGTGCCAACAAAAAGCACTTCTGGCTTTTGCTGTTTTATGTTTGTGTCCTTTTCCATATGTACTGTACTGCTAAGCTCTTGGTTTTCTTCTTCCCTTTTGTTCAGCACAGCAGATAAATTTGCGACCTTTGCTGATAAATTCTCAATTTCTGTATTTTTTTCATCTAATTTTCGCACCATGTGATCTGATTCAACAGCTTTTCAAAATGCGTTAATTTGGTCCCAAATTTAACGAACTTTGAAAAAAAAATTCAAAGTGCGTAATTTTTCAAATTGCGTGGTAACAACGCCGTCGCTTTTTTGTAGCTCACCTGGGAATCATTTTTTGCAAATGGTATCGCATAATTAAATATAGTTTACTCCTGCATGACTGTATTCTTTATACTTTATTTACTTTTCAAAGGTTCCAAATTTTTACATTCCTATTAAAAGGGCCGTCATGGACCGTTTTAATATCATTAAAACATTAGTATACCATCATCTTTTGTTCATTTGATACTTTTGATTTCTGGGGAGGCCGATTACAGTCCAATATTATACTTATTGAATTGCTACAGGTAAGTTATGGGATTAAAAAAAGTAGACCAGAAATAAGCATAAATAAATGTTAATATTTTAAGGCAATGGGTGTAGCGAGTCTTGCCATGTAATGAAATGTGTTCCAAGTCACAGAAACAAAAACTGAAACTTTGTTTTTTCAATAAATGATGAAATGTATATATGTATAAATCACAATGAATTTCAAATCTTAAATTTGAAGAAAATACTAGTATGTCTGAATGTTATTGCAATGAAATGTACATCAATAACACAAGAGAGGATTCATGTATAACTTCCCCTGGCAAGAACCAATCCTTCTTGTTTCTAGTCACTTCTTGTCACTAGTACTTTTAATAATTTTGCTTATTTTCTGCAGGAGCATATCCATTGATTTTTCTATGACAAGTGGATTCACATTTTGATTTCAAATTAATTTCAGAACATGACGAAGAAAGAATTCCTTTCCTACGTAAAGGTGAGAATATTTTTAGCTCACCTGAGCCAAAGGCTCAAGTGAGCTTTTCTGATCAAAATTTGTCCGTTGTCTGTCGTTGTCGTCGTCGTCGTTGTCGCCGTCGTTGTTGTAAACTTTTCATATTTTCATATTCTTCTCAAGAACCACTGGGCCCATTTCAACCAAACTTGCTACAAAGTATCCTTGGTTAAAGAGGATTCAAATTTGTTCAAATGAAGGGCAACCCCTTTTTCCAAGGGGAGATAATTATGAATTAGAGAAAAATTAATGGCATTATGAATAAAATTTTCTTCTCAAGAACCACTGAGCCAGGAAAAATTAAACTCATGTGCAACTATCCTCAGGTAGTGTAGATTCAAGTTTGTTCAAATCATGATCCCCGGGGGTACGGTGGGGCCAAAATGGCCGATCAAAGTTTTACATAGGAATATAAAGGAAAATTTTTTAAAAATCTTCTTCTCAAGAACCATTGGGCCAGGAAAGATGAAACTCATGTGAAATAATCCTCAAATAGTGTAGATTCAAATTTGTTCAAATCATGACCCCCGGGAGGGTGGGGCCAAAATGGCCGATCAAATTTTAACATAGGAATATATATAGGAAAAATCTTTAAAAATCTTCTTCTCAAGAACCACTCGGCCAGGAAAGAGGAAACTCATGTGGAACCATCCTCAGGTAGTGTAGATTCAAGTTTGTTCAAAGTATGACCCACAGGTGTAGGGTGGGGCCAATACGGCCAATTAAAGTTTTACATAGGAAGATATGGGAAAAATCTTTAAAAATCTTCTTCTCAAGAACCACTTGGCCAGGAAAGATGAAACTCATGTTTAATCATCCTCAGGTAGTGTAAATTCAAGTTTGTTCAAATCAAATTACCCCCTGGGGGATTAAAATTCAAGCCCCCCCCCACCCTCAGTAAATTTTCATTTCTGATCTGATATGTGCTTTTTTCTAGCCAATTGCTCAGGTGAGCGATGTGGCCCCTAGGCCTCTTGCTTTTAATATATTAAAGCAGGACTTACTATCGACTCAATATATATTTCTGTTGCCAGGGTCGACTCAAACAAATTATTCCGACAAAAACAGTTTCATCATGATAAGTAGATACAACATTATTGTTCATGATAGGACTTATGTTGTGTATGTTATACGTTAAAGAACCCCCCCCCCCCCCAAAAAAAAAAAAAAAAAAAAACATGAAAATATATTTTTTAGAAAAATCACTCTCCCCTAGCAATGCAAATAAAAAAAATATCAATATTTCTACGTTCCTGTATGCGTGTGTTATTAAATGATGGGATTCTTAATCCCTGACCGAATTCTGCTCGTGTGTAGACTGTGTAAACTTATAGAATGTGTCGCAAAACCCGAACTGAAATGGAAATTTTTAAACTATAAACTGGGTTCATGTACAAGTTCAGCATATTAATCTATATAGACTTTGAATTATATATGTAAGTTACTTTAGGATTACATAAGTATATTTCAGTAATTTAAAAAAAAATCAGCTTATATTTTCGCGGCCCAGTGTAAAGACGAATAATGATCCCCATCGAATAATGACCGGGGTCATTTTTCAACGTCAAAAAATGACCCCCTACTCGTAGAAAAAAAATCATTTTTTGTAGAAAAAGTGCCATAGGGGTCATTATTTTATATGTTTGTCCTATAAAAAAATGACCCCATTGAAAAATGACCCCCTTTAAAGTGAAAAGAGATTCTTTAATTGTCAAGTAATAAAATTTCTTTTTAATATTCCCCCTTATAATGTTTGCTTAAAGAATGATATATTGCACTTGTTTTTAGAAATCAAACCATGCAACAATCAGGTTCCAATACTCTTTGATAGAAATTTTTCCTACATTTTAACTTTTAGCTAGTATAAGTTTGCCAAATCCTATTTGACAATGAAAGAGGAGGAAATGATTAACGCCCCCCCCCTCCCCTCCCCCCCCCCCCCCCCGAAGAGAAAAAAAGAATACGTTAAATCAAAACAAAACAAAACAAAAAATAAATGAAAAGCAAACATATAAATAAAACTCTATACCTTTCAATAATACTGAGAGAGGCTCTAGATAAAATATTGAAATGAAGTTAAGCCCTCACACAAGTTCTAACATACCATAATTTACTTCGCCATAATTAAAGCATACTTTAAATGTTGGTGGGGGAATACTTGAAAGTATTGTGACAAAGTAACAGTTAAAAATTAGTAGAATAGAAGATTATTTTAAGCTGATTTTAGTCCCTCCTAAAGGTAGGGTAGTTTTTTTTTGTTGCTTTTGTTGATAATCGACTACCTTCTAAATAAGTAAGGGGGTGGGGTGGGTATAACACCTAAAACATGCTCTGCAAAGCTATGGGCTTGTGTAAAATACACATTCTAATGCAAAAACTATACACGTAGACATAACCTTTTGATTTAGCACACAATATTCATTACATTACCTGTTTTACTCCACCTTTTTACCAAGTTCTGAGTATATTTTTCAAAGAATTTAATATGAAAATCAGTACAAACATATTCATTTTTGTAACGTCTTCTTTATACTGTATCATAATGTGAAAAGTTAATTGAAGACCATTTCTTTTTATGTCCCTGAAATCGATGATTCGGGGGTATATAGTTTTATCGTGTCCGTCTGTATGTCTGTCTGTCTATCTGGCAGTCTGTTTCTCGGCAAAAACTTTAACCTTGACCATAACTTTTCATTTGTTGTAGCTATGCCTTTCATATTCAATATTCCTTGTGACAAGACCTTACTTTGGGTACCACCAAATTTGACCTTTTGACCTTTACCTTTTGTCCCATTTTACAAAAATGCCAATTTTTTAATTTACTTGGCTAAAACTTTTAAAAGTTAGATACTAGCACTCTCATACTTCACAAATGTAATCCTTGTTACATTTAACATTTCTAAAGAAACCATCAACTTTGACCCTTTGACCTTTGAGTTTGACCTACCTTTCAAACACTTATCCTTAGCCATTAATTTTTAACAAGTGGTGCTAGGGCTTTCCTATTTTGCAATTGTATTTCTTGTGAAAAGACCCTACTTTGGGTACCATTATATTTAAATTGCATTCAGAAAAGTTTACTCTTCGCTATGTTGCCATACAGGGGCATAGCTGTTTTACAAACACATCATTTTATATATAAGAGGATTTGCGGATAACAGATGGATACCCCAAAGCGTAACAGACGGACGGACGGACGTCCCGATCACTATATACCCTCCCGCTTTTCAAGCGGAGGATATAATGATATATGATACTGCTGATTTTTTCTCTCAGTACGATGATATCCACCATCGAAAAAACAATGTTTACCTTACCCTTTAGGCTCGATAAATCTTTACTCCTTTAGATTCGGAATCATCGCATTGACCTTAAAATATAGCTATAATCGTATGTTATGAGATCAACTTATCATCTATTTATTCCAAATAAGCTCAGATGAGCATTTTGGCCATCGTAACTTCTCCGCAAATCAAAACGTGTTTGTCCGAGCTCGCTAGATGAGTTTAACAACTCCATCGCACGTGTCTAGGCTAAGGCTTACTGGTCTTGCACAGGTATGTGTACTGTTTGTTAGGAGACTGGGTGCACGTGATCGTAATGCTACGGACTCAAGAAATTTACACCAAATCCATAATTAGACAGTGCATTTCTTTAAATTAAAGTTATTAAACACTGTTACACATATTAAAATAATCTAAAAGTCAAATAACTTTGGATATGGGGTGACCCATTATTGTTTTTATTTATGTTAAACATATGTTAAACTTCAGATAAATCATATCAAGAGGAAATGTTCGTTGATTATATGTCTTCTTTATATCAATCTTAAAAGATTGATTAATTGATTGCCACGTCCCTTTTGAGAATTTTTCACTAAGAAACAGACGTTAATATTCACCAGTGAAGCGCTTCAAATTTAACCTAACAGAAGTCGTTTATGATTATACGTAACTATTTTATCTATTGTTTACTTAAGTTAGCAAGACATAATACTTTGAAGGTTATATTTACTATAAAACCTTATTTGAAAATTTTGTCGCGATTCCCAGAGCATATAAACTCTAAGATTAAAATTAATGATGAAATCTGGAGTTATTATGTGAATATAGGATATAAAATATGTTTTTCCATTGCATATCAATAATATACAAACATGAAATATAAATAAATCTAAAATCCATAGTGAAAATACTTGATATATGTATAATTGCAAAAATAGGTCTAATTGGCTATTGAAAAACATAGAATTTTCTAATAGGATATTTTCTAACAACAAGATTGGTAGTCATTGAGTAGGGAGGGGTGTCGGCCACTTGGCGTGATATTTAGAGCACCTGGTGTTGATTCGCAGTGTAAGAAGCTTACCTATTTACTGGTTTACATCCACTTGTCTCAATATGAGTGAAAAAATTCTCTCACTTTTAAGACATGAAACATTAACGATTTAGCATTCTGACCCCTTGTGGCCCCTTCATTTGTAACATATGACATAAAAATCGTCATATATAGTTTTAATATTTTACATGACTATTTTTGATTCAGTAATCATACAAAAATATTGATAGTTGAAGAATTATTGAATAAAGAATTTTAGACCTTTCGAACCTTAGTATGATAAATCAGCGCTTTTTTTTACTCGATTCCATGTTTAGGTTCTTATCATTCTTCAAAAATGTTCTGTATATTTTGATAAAAAATTATACTTAAAGATGTGATGCAAAATGCCTCAAAATTCAGTCATGATTCGTGTCTAGAATTTCAACGTCTATCGAGCTTCCATACTAGGCACGTCCAAAAATTGCAAAATGGAAGCATATGTGTTTTATCGTCTCTAGAAATTGTAGCGGTCTAGCTTTACCCGTTTTTGAGATCAATCACAGACAAGGTCCCCTGAATTTTGATAAAGTTCGATAACTTTTGACCGGAAGTGATTTAAAAAAAAAGTTGAAGCGGAATTAACTTCGGATACTTTAGTAAAAACCCTGCAAATCTATAGCAAATTCTTCCATCCATTTCAGAAAAGTCTTCTGACAAAATAAATCGTGCAGACATACCCCTCCCCCACGATCTTAAAGTGAGAGGGGGGGGGGGGGCTAGTGCCCCCGCTGCCCTTTCTGACTACGCCTATGTGGCAAGATTATTTTCGATTATTAATAATCAATTACTTGTTCTAGATCCACTCTCCGATCTAACTGAAGACGAAGTATTTGTGTTATTCTGTTTTCTGTGTTCTGACTCCGGTCCTCCTGACTTCACTGACACAGAGTGGCTGGACATGCTTAATGAGATACGACAGAGAGCAGATGATAAAAATAATCCTGTAAAAAGTGAGAAAGCACAACAGATGCTAGACAGACTGAAATCACGTGAGTTCCTTTGGGAAGACCAGGACAAGATAAAAGAGGACAAAAAGAATCATATAATGGATAGGATTACATCAATGAAGAATTATATACCATTTCCATACATTAGTTATGTAACAGCCAGTGTGTACTTGAGATCACATAAATACAATAAGAAACCTGGAGAGAAATGTTTAAGCAATTCAAGCTGGGATTCACTATTGATACGGCGTCTACAAATAAATGTTCTTACTCACGTCACTATGGAGGACACAAGTATATATGATGAAATATATCAGATATGTAAGTTGTTTTAAAAAATAATCATATTTCTAAATTTAAAAAATGTCCAAAATGAACGATTTATTCAAATTCATAGTGTGATATATTAACTAATTAGACAGAAAAACCATCCCTGTTCATGTTTTTGCTATGGTAATTTCGATTCAAATAAAGAAAATCAGTGGCCATAAGGAAAAACCATTTCTTATTATTTTCAAATAAAGAGATGTTTTTCATTCGTTCTTTATTTGATTGATTGACTGATTGCATATTGTTTAAGTCCCTCTCAAAAAATTTTCACTCATACGGAGATGACTTGATGGAGAGCTGAAAATTTTGTCCTATATACGACATTCAGGATAAATGAACAATGGGGGGTCTTTTTCGTGCCATAACCTAGTGCGAAACGAGGCCTGGGTTTAACGATCTACTTCGAAGGACCGGTCTCCACGTCTAACAATATGATTAGAACGTGAGGATCAACTGTTTACTTCGCTACACTAGAGCAGACCTTCCAACCACTGCGTCACGTGGCCGATTGTTCTTTTTGGGAATTACATTTACCGAATTCTATGTATACGCTTTTAAAACATTCATTTTCTTCAACAGTGAATATCCCAGACAATATACTAAATGATAGTGAAGATAATCGAGAACAATTTCTACTGGACCTAAGAAGAGATGGGGAAGCTTTTCATTACCTTAGAAAATGCAAAGATAGTGTACATCAGGTGACATGGCTATGGAGATATTGGATAAATGCGAGACCTGACATCGTAAGATCCTGTATAGGTCTACATCCACACAATGATATTTACATCATTGACAACAAAGCTTACAGAAAACCAAGTAAGAAAAAATGCAATTATAATAACGTATGCTAAAATACTTAATCTTCATTAAAGTATGTGTAATTTCAGTGTAATTTTATAAATTGACTCAACAAAGATTATCCCCTTCCAAATCCTACGTTTCTTTGCTTTCAATTTAATTTTATAAGTTGACTTTACAAAAATAATCGTATTCATTACGCTACAACGTATTCAATCAGCTTTCCAGTTTTTCTTTACCGCGCGGTGTTCATACAACACTATTTATTGTTATCATACACAGTTCCATTATAGAGAAAAAGAAGTTCTTATCCTATCAAACGAAAATATCGATGCGAGAAGAATGCGCATTTCCTCAAAAATTTTTCTACATGTAATTGATTACATCTTATATTTAACTGTATTAGAACATATCTAATACATTTTTAATCTAATGTTGAAGAGCAATTTTTTAAAAAATTGAGGGCTGTATATTACATGTTATGTAATACATTTCACAAAGGCAACACTGTCTACGTTTTTTCTTACACAGTTCCTTCACATTAGCAGTATTTCTTTGAAGGACTGGACACTAACAAATCAAATGTAGTTAAATTCAATTCCATTGGTTTAGATTTCGAAGTGGCATGAAAGTATGCTCAAAAAAAAAAATCTGAAATTAGACATATCGAGATAACGAACAGAATTAAAGATCAAAAGTCCATAAAAATATACAAAATAGGAGCAGAGCAATCGCAGACCCCCCATAACCTCAGAGGTGGGATCAGGTGCAATGGAGTAAATGAAAGTAAATGTGGGATATTTCCACGTACAGTATGGGTATGCATAAATCAAACAATTCAATACCCTACTTTCCAAATAAATAACACAATAAAAAATGGAGCTGAATGAGAAATCCTTTCTTTATACATGTATTACATGTAATATGTATCAGGCATCAAGATCAGAGGACATTCGCATTTTATATGTTACTTGAAATTCAGATTTTATAGTATTATGTAAGGTTCTTTTCCAAACGGATTCTAGACGAATTTTGAGGAATATACCAAACTGATTCAGTTTTCGATAGACAGTGATAATAAAACTAGTTTGTGACATTTTGGAATGTGATCGTTCAAAAAATCCCTAGATATTGTTCGTCGTCATTATATACTATATAATACTAGATTTAAGTTTTGTTAATATGTAATTTATTAGTTTCATTCAATTTGGTAAAATGAGACTCATGGTTGTCAATTTTAAAACCAACATCTTTTGTCACCAAGGAGCATGTTACCGATACAGTATCTTTAAAAATAACGTCGGCAAATTTTCTTAAAATTATAACTCTTTCTTTTAATTCATATAAGGTTTGAAACGTCTCTTCAATTCACGAGAAGGTATCCATAACACTTATACACCTAGTTTGCCAACAGTTGTAACTATGTTAATCCCTAATGGGATCCAACTCAATGAAATTGAAAACATAACAGATAAAAACATTGAATACACATATTATTTACACATACTTCTCATTTATTACTATTACATGGAGTATGTCCTAATTCATGACTGTGGATTTTGGTAAGAATTATCTCTCCTTTTTTAATTAATAAAAAAATCAATTAAAAACATTTTAGCTGGTAAAAAAAATTATTTTCAATTGTTATTCTATTTCAAATGTTTAAATGCATCTTTCCATCGCAGGATTTATTGATATTAAAATTTCTAGAATTTTTATTTTGATAAAAAAACCTCTTTTCCCCATAGACTCCATGCAATGCTAATTAACTGCTGCTCAATAAATGAAATTTTTGAAAAGCTCTCGTATGCAATTTTTTTCCACTATAAATTGCTTTAATATAATATCAGCGTATTATGTACTTGACGGACATTTAAGGGTAGGGAATTAGGTCCAATTAGGGATGGAAATCCTTAAATAGTAGCATTTCATTTGTCAATGTTTTCATCTCTTTACCAGTTAATTGTGCTTACAAAATCAGCCACTCCAAGACATCTACATCTTACCATGAAATTCTAATTTTTAAAGTATTTGTTCAACTTTTAACCATTTAATTGTTCCTCGATTTTCCTCGTCCATGCAGAGAGCTTGTCATTTAAATACCGATACCACCTGTATTATCTACACAAAAATGCACGACATATATTTATTATATTCCTTTAACATGTTTAAAACTCTTCTTCTCAAGAACCAATGTGCCAGAAAAAATGAAACTTATGGAAATATATGGGAACATTCTTTAAATATCTTCTTCTCATGATCAAGAACTGCAATGCCATAATTGCTCATATTTATATGGATGCATCCTCAGGTAGTGTAGATTCAAGTTTGTTCAAATCATGACCCCTAGGGGTTACGTGGGGCCACAATGACCGACCAAAGATTTATATAGAAATATGTGGGAAAATTCTTAAAATATCTTCTTCTCAAGAACAGCAATGCCATAATTGCTCATATTTATATGGATGCATCCTCAGGTAGTGTAGATTCAAATTTGTTCAAATCATAACCCCTGGGGCTAGGGTGGGGCCATAATGGCCATCAAATTTTTTTACATAGGAATATATAGAAAAAAATATCATAAAAAGTATTCTTCTCAAGAACCACTGGGCCAGGAAAGATTAAACGTATGTGGAATCATCCTGAGGTAGTGTAAATTAAAGTTTGTTCAAATCATGACCCCCGGGGTTAGGGTGGGCGAAAATGGCCGATCAAAGTTTTACATAGGAATATATAGGAAAAATCTTTTAAAATCTTCTTCTCAAGAACCATTGAGACAGGAAAGATAAAACTCATGTGAAATTGTCATCAGGTAGTGTAAATTCAAATTTGTTCAAATCATGATCCCTGGGGCAAGGTTGGGGCCACAATGGCTGTTAAAAGTTTTATATAGGAAAAAAATCTTCTTCTCAAGAACCACTGGGCCAGGAAAGAATGAAACTCATGTGGAATCATCCTCAGGTAGTGTAGATTCGAGTTTGTTCAAATCATTAGCCACCGGGAGAGGGTGGTGCCAAAATGGCCGATCAGACTTATTCATAAGAATATATAGGAAAATCTTTTAAAATCTCCTTTTCAAAGCTATGATTAGTGATATTTAATTTTATTTTGAATCATCCTCAGCAAGTGTTGATTCTTCATTGTAGATTGTTGAAATCATGAACCCCCTTGGAGTTTAAAATTTAAGCCCCTCCCCTTCCAACCTCAGTAAACTTTCATTTTTGATCTTTTTGCATTTTCCTAGCGGGGGTGCTCAGGTGAGCGCTCTGCCCCTAGGCCTCTTGTTTATAATCATTTTAAAGCATTAGTTACGTTTATAAATACAAGGTAATGAAAAAATTAATTTATTTTTTTTAGTTTAAATGGGTATATGTCCTTCCAAGTGTTATCTATTAGAGGTTCAATTAGAAACGTTATAACGTATGAAAAAAGTTAATCTCAGTGTTAAACACGATTTGTTTATTAAGACAACTGTATAAAATTGGGTTGTAATACCGTTAAATTAAAAAAAAAGTTATTTCAAAAGTGTATGAACGTTTTACTGTTGTACATTTTGAATTTACTGGATGGCAGTGACAGAGCCCCTCGGTAAGTTAAAAATGTACAACATTTTAATGAATTAGTCCAAAATGGGGACAAAGTATCTATAACCTTTGAAGTTTACCATACTTGTTTTATTTTTTGTTTTTTAGACTTGCACTGGTTAGCAATAAATATACAGATATATCTCTAATGTACTTCTTTGTTTTTTTTACAGGTTCATTCCATTTGTTTCAATCGAATGTCAGATGTTTACTGTATACCTTGCTTTCAGTTGAGAATTATAAGCTAGATGTCAATAAACAATCCCACAGAATCACAAGGGACAAAATCAGAGAGAGATATTTCCCTGATATTACTGACGACGGATTGGAAGATCTTCCTGATGGAATCACAGAAACCAAGAAAAGTGTGATAACCTTTTTATCAGACGACATCCGACATGATGTCATGTACGCCTTTGTGACGGAGTGTCTGGTGGAGGACAGTGATCTGGAGTTTTTCTTAACAATAGCGTCACGTGACGTGATATCAGAATACTGTAGATCCTGGGATTATAAGAGAAGTGATAGAGAGAGGTGTCTCTATTTACCAGTTAGACCGGGAGAATTGTATAACATTTTTATAGACAAACTACAGCTGGACATCATTTCACACTGCACCGTAACTGATCGGGAGATTCATAACAAAATAAGTGAACAATGTGAGTAAAACTGAAGTATTTTTTCTCTCTTATATAATGGAACAATACTTTTCATTCCAATTCCAGAATATTCACTACCTTTAAAGTCTAATTAATTGATATACAGACGAACAGTATGAATTTAACAGCATTTAAAAGTATATCAAGTGTAGCCAGCCATATCTCCCTTGATCCATCTATTGCATGACTTAAGATATGAGGACGAAAATATATTCATTTTCTCTTTGGTAAATAGATTAACAATATTTTAAACTGAATTTTTAATTAAAAAACAATTATTTATCTTTCAAATTTTCATATATCAATAAATTCTTGAAAATTGCATAAAAATCATTTTTAGTGTCAAATTCTGCATAAGATAAATTTATATAATTGTACGCTTCGCCGAGCAGATTTTAATCTAAAAGAAACAATAAAATTACTTTACAATTTAATAACACAAAACATGTAACAGGTTTCCCTCTCCCGCGAATTTATGGCTCTAAAGTAGCTTATTGCACGAAGAAAATGCTCGAGAGTAGAATTTTCCCATAGTAAAAAATCTCTGTAGAGAACGATTTCTCCTACAAAAATCCAGTTTAAATTTTCTTGGGAAAACCCTCGGTACTATACAAACAATCTAAGCATTAAAATTGAATTCTTTACTAACAGTGCTTTAAAAAAAAAAAAATAATAATATTGAACATTTCTCCGAATTTCTTGTTTTCCTTTGACTATTACTAAATCATATATTTCTACAGTTTTGAAATAAAAAATACCTTTAAAACATTTGCCCTATGCATTCAAATACAATATCACAACGTACCTTACATATTTTACAGAAGTTTTTTTTTTCTTTTAACTTTGTTATAGTATAAAATAAATGAACGAACAAATGAAAGTAAAATAAAAAAATATATATAGTTAAATAATTACATAATAATGATTTTAAATAAAGTCATGAAAATCATTTTTTGATTTTAAAGGAAAAAAAGGATTTTGCTTACAAAATAACATTTTAAGAATCAAAACAATAACGACCCTTTTTAATCAAGGATGTTTTTATCTCGTTACTTAATAAATTAAATGTACCTAAATTCTGAAATGAAACAAAACTTAGTGAATGAGTCATGATGCATATAATTTTTGAAAGGGGCTTTTTTAGTGAGAGTTCCGGACGAAGTGCTGCAGTGGGACCAAGAGGCGAGGGAGCGTTACGTGAAGTATGCTAAGTCAGGAACAGAGAGAGTGCATCATGCCCGGGGGATGATTGTGGGATGTGCTGGGGCGGGGAAAACCACGCTTCTTAAACGCCTGCTCGGATGTACTGAAGAAGAGATTAAGGAAGTAAAATCTACCGAGGGATTGGAGGTGCATGACGAAGTCTTTGAAATATGTGATGAAACAAAATCTCTGAAAGGCAAGATGTCTGAAAAAAAAATTTTCTGCCTCTTGGCAAACATACAAAAACATAAGACCCTTTCATGTTTTCTTCCAATTCCAATTTAATTACGAGGAAAAGGAATTGAAAACAAGTGAAATTTACCAGTATACTTTTTTTGAAAAGGTGAAAACACTAAAGTAATCATTGTTATAAGCACATTAATGATCACATGTCAAATATGAAAGCCCTATATCTTCTCAATCAAAAGTTATAAGAAACAATAAATGTTTGTGAAACACAGATGCCCCCTGTATGGCATCATAGCGAAATTTGAATTTATCTTTGGTGTAAAATGAAATATATTGGTACCAAATGTAGGGTCTTCTCACAAAGAATACGATCGTGAAAATATGGAATCCCTAGCAACACATGTTTAAAGTTTTTAAAAGATAGGTCAAACTCCAATGTCAAAGAGTCAAAATTGGTGGTTTCTTAAGAAAGGGCTTGCAAGAAGTATTGCATATGTAAAGTTTGAAAACCCTTGCCCTAACGGTACAAATATTAAGACCAAGGTTAAAGTTTTTGAAAGTACGTCAAACTCCAAGGTCAAGGTCAAAAGGTCAAAGTTCTTGATATCCAATGAAAGGTCTTGTCACAAGGATTTTTAAGTATGTGATGTCTGAAAGTCCTAGCCGTAACTCTTAAAAAGTCATGTTCAAGGTCTGTTTTTTAAAAGTAGGAAAAACATGGTCAAAGTTATTGGAATCCAATAAAAAAGTCTTTTCATAAGGATAATATATATGAAGTATGAAAGTACTAACCCTTTGCAGTTCAAAAGTCAAGGCCAATGTTAAAGTTTTTTTTCATAAGTACAAAAGTCTTCGAGGTGAAGGTTAAAAGCTAAAACGATTGTCATCAAATAAAAGGTTTTGACACAAAGAATATACCTATGAAGTATGAAAGTCCTATTTTTACTGTTCAAATGTTATGGCCAAAGTTAAACTTCGGAATTTTTGTTTAAAAGTTGGTCAAACTCTAAAAACAAGGTCAAAAGGTCAAATTTGGTGCTTCTAAAGAAAGGTCATGTCAGTTCCACAAGGAATACACATGTGGAATACACATATATAGCTGCACACAATCAAAGATTATGGCAAGATTAATTTTTTTGTGACGGACGAACAGACAGTTAGACAGACAGACGGACAGACGGATGATTTATAATGTCCAGCAGCTTTCGCGAAAGTGGAAGACAATATTGAAGTACGTAATAAGATTATTAACTATTTCATAAGGTCACATACACTCTCTTAACTTGATAGATAAATCAGTAGGAATATATCAATATAATATTTAAAGTAATTTCAATCTGTAGTCATAATTATTTTTTTCTTATTTTGTTTTGCATGTTTCCTTAAACCGTGTGTAAACGTGAAATATCTGAGATCAATTACTAATACTCATTTCTTAGTTGGCTGACTAAATTGTTTGTTTTTTCAAGTGTTAATTAAAGTAAGGTAACAGTAAAGTAAGTGTATAATATGATATTCTGCTAATTTTAATTATATTCAGGTATAAGACATTATTTTTATATTGACTGTATTAAAAAAAATATTCATTTGTTTTAGTTTGTATCACCAAAATACATAAACCTTAAAAAATGAATTTTGGTACTTCAATTGATCTGCTTCTTATTCTTTTCACTGTCGGCTTTTCAAGAATTCTATTTGATTCCTTTTTAAAGATTTTGCAAGATATTTCTTTATTTTGTTCATTATTTAAGCGGATCAAACAAACAATAGTTTATAAACCACTGAATATGTTTTTAGTCAGATATATGGATCAGAGAACTAAAGAAGAAAATGCAACATATTTTAACACAAAAACTCTGACTTTCTTTGACTTTGGGGGCCAGTCTGCGTACTACGCCTGTCACCAGATTTACCTGACCAGGAGAGCTTTCTATGTGGTAGTGGTGGACGCCTCTAAACGTCTTGACCAGGTGGTGGATCAGAAAGTGTGCGATCAAGTTGATAGCGTTTTCGCTGGATGGACATACGGAGGTACATGTTTAAAAATTGCAAACAACACATCTATTTAATATGCTTTTATAGAGGAGTTGACAAAGCGTAACAGACGAACAGACAGACGGACATCCCGATTACTTTATACCCTCCTACTTTTCAAGCGGGGATATAAATACATAACGTTACTGTTATTATCTGCACTAGAAAAAAAAAACAACTCGTGATCATCGCATGTATTATCAATATGAGACAACCAATTTTACGTTGACCCCCTTCTAGAACCTATCTGTTTTAAGATAAATAACATACCGCCCGTCAATCATTTACTCCTATCAGCTATTCCTCTCATACCAATGAATGAAATTTGATTAGACTTTCACACAATCTTTATTGCATATTGCCATTATGCACCTTTGCTCACACACACATTTTGGTTTTCCAAACATGGAACAAAATATTATATTCATATTGGAGGCGGGGATATCATTTACTGAGCTCATTGTTCACGGTACTTTTATTTTTTTTTAAAAATGAATTGAAAGTAAAGTAAACCATTTCTTCATATTTTCTTCAATCCTTACTGTTTGGCACTTCTAGGCAGATATAGAAGATAATTAATAATTGTACGTTAAAGTACAAGCGTAATATTTTGCGAATTATAAAAAAAAAATAACGCGTATTTACTGCTTTAAAGCAACTTTTTTCATTTTATTAATAAAACTAATTAAAATTAGGAAATTCCGGATCAAAAAAATATTTTATTGTTAAATAATTTATTTTTAAAACAATTTGTAAATTGATACATGTATGTACATGAAGATTGTTGATTTAATCGTGCGTTTTGACGCTATATGAAGTGACAATCTTCAAATAGGGGAAATAAAAATATTATAAAAGAAAATGTTATAAATCTAAGTACCCCAAATTTCAAACATAGAATTAAAAAAACTCTACATAATATTTATTATTTTTTTGTATAAATCCTTTCAATGCATCATATTTTGTAGTACTCTATAAAAACAAGGAAATTCGTTATTTTTGGTACATGTATTTTGAGATGCCCCCTCTGGACTCAAGGGGTAGAAATTTGTGTTTCTTGCATTTAATGTACAATGTATTATTACTAATCATATTTTACGGTTTGAGATAAATGTCTATTGTAGTATTTGCTTAAAAGTGCAAAAATGGCACTTTCCTATATAATCCTATAATAAATGTATTTATTTATGAAGTCTTTTGAGATGAGCTCTTTCATCAAACCCTCAAAATTTCGATTACTATTAATTGGCGTTCTTTCTTAGCGGGTTGTGATTTTTGTTTCTTTGAAGTATGTGTCCAAAACTTCTGTATTAAAAATATCTCTAAACTTTACATTCCGATATGTTGAAGACGTATTAAAAAGTCAAAGTGTTAATGTTTTCGATATTTTTCTGACTATAGACAATTAAAGCCAACTGACATCTTTAATACTGGATAAGTAAGATGACCATATTTACCATCAAACACTCTCCTTATTATATACAGTCTGTAATAAACACGATCATCTGAGTACTGTCTTAATATATTTTAACATTTTCTTTACGGTGTCATTGTTATTATGACCCTTTATCAAATTCATGTACGAGTATATCCTCTCATTTGTTTTATAGTGTGTGGCTGAGGTGTTTCAAACCAATTCTAAGTTCTTTTTTATGCTTCTTATGAATATGGTATGCTCCGTTTAGCTGGTCCACACATATTGCACACGGCGGGACTGCCAACGGGGAATGTTTACTCCTCCTAGGCATTATATTACAGGCGTCGATGTTTTATGTCCTGTGCACGTATATGTCTAGATTATGAATTTCTTGAGATCAATCAGTGTTTGTGTTATTCATTTTTTACCAACAAAATGGCATCCTTATGTGCGATTTCTTCTTTTTTAATACAGAAATATATCTTGTAATCTATAAATGTTAAATAATGGCAATGTTACTGTTCCTTTATAAGAGATGTTTTTTTTTTTTTTTTTATTTTTTTAGATCTTTAAAGTTAACATGTAACATTGTGGGCATTATTGTTCTCATTTATATATTGTAGACTACTTTGTGTTCTGGATAAAGTCTATACACACATATTGTGGTTCTGACAATGAAAGGGAGCCAATGCCAATAGTTTTGATTGTAGCAACTCACTGGGAAGATAAAGAGAGGATGTTTGAGGTGAATATGTTTCTCTAAATAAACTCTTCTTTGTGAAAAAAACTGGGTTTTCATAGGTAAGATCAATATGATATTGAGCTATATCAACGTGGCAATTGTAGTTGGATAAAAAAATCCAACTCAATAATAATAGTTCCCTCATTTTCTTATTATATAAAATTAAATAGAACATGGAATTATATAAAATTTAGCCGTCTAATGATAACCTTCATACATTAACATTATAAACATTGAAACAATATAAAATTATGGAAGAAACAACAGCGCATAATTTTCGTCCAGCTTTTATCAAAAAAGGGGTAAAAATCTAATCCGTCTATAAATCATAATTCATAGTTAATTCAAGCAATCTTTGGATGAAACTAGCAATAACATTTTTAATCATGTCAAATCTTCAATTTTTTTTCTATGCCTACATTATGAAAAATTTAAATTCTCTTGTAGACTACAGACTTTTTAAACATTTTTGCATAAAATACTAGTTTTTGGGAATACATGTTGCATTTGTAAAGGTATATATTTAACATTGTCTTATGTTTGTAATGTAATTTGTTATGTAATTTGTTATATATATTTCACTGTTTGTTTATAATATGAAAGGAAAATAAAATCACATCTATATATAAAACATAATAATTCATAGTTAAATGGATATCGTTGAACATTTGGAATTCTCGAGTGGTTGGGCATGGGGTTTTGATTTTTTATGTATAAATATTTACTACTTCGGGTTTAATAAGAGACATTCGTTTTTAGAAGTAATGAGACTAGTATAGTATACTGAAAGGAAAAAGAAAGGCAGGGTAGCATAATTTCGAAAAAAAATTTGACCACATGACCGAAAATTACAAAAATTGGTCAGAAGAGAAATTCAGTTACTGTGCACCAGAATTAGTATTCAGAATTACTCAACCGTAAACTTTATGACGTCACGTAGAGGAAACGCTAAAAAGTCCAAAACACGTGCAATTTGATAACGACGAGTTTGTCAACAAATCTTGTTGCATGATTTGATGTATATGAGGTATGCACATCGTTTTTCAATATTAAGAGACCTTACGAATTTCTTGCAATCTTGGCACAGTTTACGGAAGTTCAATAGGGTCTTGTTTTTAAATTGCCTAATTAATGAAAAAAGGCAACAACGATTAACTAAGCATTTTCTTGAAAATTTTTCCCCATAAAACTTGTTATACGTTGTCAGAGAGGGTCTGGAATGGTTTTCAATCAACCGTGACGATGTCAATAATGCGAAACAAAGCCATGTTACGGGCGGGTTATTCGTCCTGCCATCTCTTAAATCCCCACTTACTACCACAAAAATAGCCATTTATACAGTGGACGATATAATCATTACATTCATACGAAATTTGAAAGAAAACAATTCCGCAATTTGATTTTTTGAGACAGTCAACATACTGTTTTATTCCTCTCATTCGCGCATACGCGCGCCATCTGACTTATTATTTTTTTACGTGGTTACCCATGCCAAATATAGATAGGGTCTGAAAGATAAACACTCTAATGAAATTCCATGCAGAGGAGAAATAAGGCTCTGACAGATACACGGGAGAGACATTGAAGATAATGAGAGTTTTCGATTTTCACTTTTGGGGGATATCGTCATTTGAGCTTCAATAACTCATGAATTATTGGACAAAATTCAATTGGAAATAAGTTATATCTTTTTGAAAGATGATATTTAAAGTTACATATTAAAACTAAGACATATTTTAAGAAAAACAAATTTAATTCATCTCAAAGTTTACCCTGCATTTCTTTTTCCTTTTAGTATATGTTGATTATTGCATATATGATTCAATTTAATGATTATTGCATATACCAATATAAGTAAGATTGGGTTAATAATTTCCTTTTTCATATTTACAAAATTCAATGATAGCTTGATCAACGTTTCAAGTACTGAAAAACTGCATGTCAATGACGTCATCTCTATAACTTTAATCTGTAACGGTAGCCTAGTGGTAGAGCGTTCGTTTGGTGATCGGGAGTTCCTGGTTCTATTCTCGTTTAAACCTACGACTTAAACGTAGGCGGTGCCTGTTCCTTCGCAAAGCGCTCGGCACTAGAAGTGAAAGAGAAGGGTCGTTCTGGTATGACCTTAACAACGTAGGTCCCATGTCACGGTAGGCGTTGGTACGATAAAGAAACAGCACTGCTCAATGGTCCCAAGTTTAGAGTAAAGGTCTAAATTTGAAGCCCTTCACATAGATGACGTCTCCATATGAGTGATTCTCGAATGGGACGTTAAACAATTTATATTCAATTGATCAACTCATAGCTTCAACTTGTCTAGGCCGTCATATCAGTCAATAAAGCGAGGTCAAGGTGCCTTTCATTCTACAATTAAATAGCGTTATAATGAGACGATAAGCTACAAATTCATTTATAAAGAAAAATAATTAATATTTATTTTTTGAGATTCATTTGTACAGCCTTACTGTGAAGTCATATTGGATATACCAAATCTCTGCATAGGCAGATGTACCTATTGGAATCATTAACCTAGCTGTTTTTGAAGTGAAGTGAAAGTTGTGGGTCTTTCGGACGCAATTAAAAACTATCCGATACCCCATTCACGACAGACAGGCATGAAAATATCTCACTGCTGAATAACCCCGAGTGCCGAGTATATGTCTGAAAGAACTTAGTGCGTAAGATGGCTTGTAACCATGCCTTACATGGTTTGAGATAGTCATAATAGATAAAAATGAATTCCTCCATAGATATATTTCAAATACATGTAACAATTTAAATAAATCTAGAGACAATGCCAACATTGTCGTCTTTAATTGAAGCCCTTCACCATTATATGTGTTGAAGTTTCCGTTTGGTAAAAATATTTTTCAATTCGATGTAAAACAATATGTAATCAATAAATGAATCATTAAATTTTTAGAATAAATGTAATAGAAGCATTGTTTCTTGTACACGTTTGTGAATCTTAAGATAGAATTTCTGTCACAAAACAAGAGGCCAATGGGCCACATCGCTCACCCGAGTAGCTTTCTTTACAAGATTCCCCCTTTTGTTATACCTTTTATGCTCCCAGGGCACGATCTTAATGATACAGAATTTATACTACCCCCGGATGCTTCCACATACATGTAAGAGTCAGCTTTTCTTGTATAGTGCTTCTTGAGAAGATTTTTTTAATGTTCTTAAATATTTCTTTGTAAAACCTGGATTCACTGTTGTGGTCACCGTCAAACAACTTAAAATTTACACTAACCAAAGATGTTCTCACATAGGTTTCAGCTTTCCTGGCTCAGTGGTTCCTAAGAAAAAAAATTGTCCCATATATTTCTGTGTAAAACTTGAATTTCCTAATTGTGGCTTCACCCCACCCCTGGCGTCATGATTTTAACTATTTAGAATTAACATTAACAAATAAATACATTTGTGTTATCTCGCCATTATATAAACATACAGAGAGAAAATATCTTCAATTCTGTATGGAGTTTGACAGAGGTCAGAGGTTAATACTTTACCTAATCACACGGCGCAATAATATCTACCGGTACATCAATATGATATGAGATGCTCTACATGTATAAAAATGAACAAAATAAGCAAGTCAAATAAAAATTATTCTATTTACAATGTAAACAAGTAGTTCATAGAGTTTTTTTTTGGTTTAACCTGTGTACATAGAGGATATATACCGATAGAAACTAGATCTATAGTCTTTGTAAGTTTTTTTTTACAAGTTTTATGTCACTTTTGTCAGCTGCAGTCTGTAACGTTTATCCTTACATTTTGGGTAGACCTTAAGTTAAATCTTCATGATTTATTAAAGTTTTTCATTAAATTCTACTCACGATAAATGTGTAAATCTGTTGGAAAATATCAAAACATCACAATCACGCCACGAACAGCTGATAAACACCTCTGCGTTGTCGTAGTTCAATGTAACCTGACGCCAGTGTCTCCGTGTTTACATCATAATTATACATTTAGTTATTGAAATCGTAGATTGAATGTTTTTAATCAAATTTAATGCTTGATTGCAAATCAACTGACTAGGTCAATTTTTCCATCCAACGGATCCATCCCTCACTTTCCAGCGAACGAAATTCCTCAAACTTTTTATTAGCGATCTTCAGACGTGTTTCTTGTGTCTTTTCAGCATTGCTTATCAATTTAAATACAAAATATAAATAAAAATATTTTCAGGCAACAATCTGTTCACTAGTACTGATCACAAGTAGCCTATCACAAAATATTCTTCTCCTGATGAATTCGAAGCGTTACCGCCAATCAAGCGGATTTACACCTTGCGTCATTTTTCAAAATTTAGGACGTACGGTTAGTGCAAAAATTAATATTCAAAAATATTCAATTGTCTGTCTCAAATGTATATATAAGTAATAAATAACAAATTTAAAAATTCTAATGGGAATTGAAGTGGGCGTTCACAGGATTTGATCACGTGACCGACCCACTTCAATTCCCATTGAAGTTTATAAACTTGTTATTTATTTCTTAAATGAAGCTTCCACATATAAGCCCGGGTGTTATGATTAAAAAAAAAATTAAGAATACTTAATCAAGTATGCTTTCACATAAGTTTCAGCTTTCCTGGCCTAGAAGTTCTTTAGAAAAAGATGTTTAAAGATTTTTCCTTTATATTTCTAAGTAAAACTTGGATTCCCTATTGTGGCCCCTTTCTATCCCTGTGTGTCATGATTTTTACAATTTAGAATATACCCTAACCAAGGATGTTTTCACATGAGTTTCAGCTTTCCTGACCTAGTGGTTCTTTTAAAAAAGTGTTTTAAAGATTTTCCCCCTATATTTCTATATAAAACTTGAATTCTCTATTGTAGTCCCAAACTATCCCCGTTTTTATGATTTTAACAATTTAGAATTTACATTAACCAAGGATGCGTCCACATTAGTTCTAAAGTTTTTAAAGATTTTTTTCTATATATTTCTATGTGGAATTTGAATTCCCTATTGAGGTCCCACCCTATCCCTGGGGGTAATGGTCTTAACAATTTAGAATTTACATTAACCAAGGATGTTCTCATATACGTTTCAGCTTTCCTGGCCCAGAGTTTTAAAGATTTTTCCTATATTTCTATGTGAATTCCCAAATGTGGCCACGTCCTCCTTTTGGAGGGCATGATTTTATCAATTTAGATTTCACACTACACCAAAATGCTTTCACATGTGTCAGTTTTCTTGACCCTTTGGTTCTTAGAAAGCAGATTTTTTAACGACCCAACCCTATTTTTGTCTCATCTCACCAGCTATCCTCCCCTGTGTAAAGGGAATTTTTTGTACCAAAGAATACCGTTTATACCCTTGCAATATTGAAATTTGTTCATGACCTTCATTAGTACATATGCTATGTATTTATCATGTGACTTTCCATCGATGGGGCCAAACTTTATTCAGTACAAAGTGAGTTGTGCAATGTTATGTTAATAAAAATATAAATTACATGTATGTGGTACATTGAAATAAAACATTAAAAAATTTTTTTTAAAGGCCCTGTTTTTTGCACGTCTATATTCTGTTGATTTTCCATAGTACATGCAAGTTTTAACAGTGCTGCGTAGTATTAAATTAATCATGTAATTATAGAGTATTATTAGTGAGATAGTCTGACTGAATGATAACTGGTCTGTAAAGCACAATTAATAAACAAACATTAGGAAAAATAAAATATACATGTGTACTACCACATTCAATTTTTAAATGTTTAATACATTTTCTTTTTGCAGACCAAAGATGACCTTATAAAGAGCTTAAAGCGACAGTTACCAAAATCATCTTACCTATCACAATACGTAAGGGAAGATAATTGCTATTGCACGCAGCTCTGTTTACCTCTTGACGAGGTGAAGGACTGCTTCTTTTACATAGCAAACCAATCACGATGGGAAGAAAATATTCCTAAAGAATGGTTTTTCTTTGGGATAGAAATTAATCAGAAAAAGCATTCAGAACGAATACTGAAGATCTGGGATATAAAAACGAAAGTTCCAGAGATTACTCCGAAAGGTCAGAAAAATTCCAATAAAGTTGAAAAGGAAACTAAAGATATGTTACGATACTATCATGATGCCGGAAAAGCTTTATATTTTCCTGAACATGATTTGGAAAACAAAGTAATTATTGACGTGCAATGGTTTATTGACGCCTTCAAACATATCATCACAGACGAACTACATTTTAAAGACATTCCTGTCAGCTGGGAGGACTGGGTTGAATTTTACAAAACAGGTCATTTGCAAGACAAACTTCTGACAGATCTCTGGAAACATAAAGATGAAGAGTTGTTGGAATGCTCAGAGAAAGGAGACAAAAACTATGATATCACCGACGTTCCTTATGGAGAAGATCATCGATATTTGCAGTATCATAGGAAATCACTTCTTATGTTCATGCAAAGACTCGGTTTACTGGTTGTTGGTAAGGAATACCACTATGTTCCTTGCATGAATCGAAAAGAGTTGGAGGAAAAACTTTTAAATCTAATGAACAATTCATATAGTAAATCATCTGTTCTTATTTATAGATTTGAATTTTTACCATTTTTCTTGTTTTTTCGCCTTGTTGTCGCTTGTATGCAGGTAGATGGTTGGAACGTACTCAGAAGCGATGACACATCTTGCCTCTACAGAAACGCAGCCTTTTTTTCTTACATGGAATACAACATCGTTTTATCAGTCACAGAAGAGTCTATACAAATTCAAGTATTCTCTCCAATGCAAGGGTATGATTTAGAAAAAGTGAAAATTTACAGCATTCAAGAAAGTGTTGAAGAGATTTTAAACGATTTTGCAAGATCATTTCACAGAAAAATAATGTTTGTAAGAGGCTTTAGATGTCGAATGGACAAAGGAAAAACAATAGCCATTGATATCAAAGAACATTTCTTACCACAGAAGGACATACCAAAAAAAGATGGTAAAATGATCTGCCCTTTGCATCCATTTGATCATCATATCATCAATACTGCTGAGTTAACTCAATATTGGAAAGTTTTAGAATGAAAAAGAGACTTTCCGGTAGTTTGTAATGTAAAGACTTAAGAGGTTTTTAAAAAGATTTTTGTGCGTTTTTTTCTTCGAAACACATATCAGACAATGCATGTTGTAGGTTTGACAGTTTTCTTAAAAATGAAATTCATCAATGTATATTGTAAGAAATCGATAGTTGTTCTTTTCATTTGTTAACCATTGGTCAAAATTAACTTGCATATAAATGTGTTCTAGAATATCTGTTTAACAATAGCAATTAGACCATAGATGTGTGTATTTTTGCTTTTAATCAGGCTTTTATTTGCATTTTATCATATGCACACGTAGATGCATTATAGAAACATTCAAATTATTCCTCGGGAAATTGAGACTTTGAAAAAAAAAGAATGTGATAAATTAAAGCCACCCTTGAAATTATTATAAGATTTTGCATAAATACAAAAAAGTGTCCGATACATTAAAGTACACCAACACCGCGTTATCACGTAACTGCTACATGTATAGTCAAATATTCTTGAATCAGAAAGGTAACAAAACAACAATACCCTGGAGTTTATCAACTACTCTGAGTAAAAAAAATAAAATAATCGGAAAGCATATTTTACTTTTTTAAAAATAGCGCTTGAATCCCACTTTGTGAATGCCATTTTTTATGATTAATTTCCAAGCTACTTGATGTAATCTTATGACGTCATTGGAAGAAGTTAAAGTGACAAAAACAGTGTAACAAAATAATAATAATTATCATTATTATGAAATAAAAGCACTTTGTTAATATTGAAAAATTGAAAATTTCTATACATTCTCTGAAGTTAATTACACAAACAAATTGCCTATTTTATGAAAACTTGTGTTTTTTCGTTGATATCATTGCCTTTTACGATGTCATACTCTGTCCATGATTTAGTCAAGTAAGAATATGTTTCCTTAACACATATATGTGAAGCTTATTGCATGTTCCTGTTTTGTCAGTGCAGTCAGAAATATTGCTTTTTTTCAACTCCAAAACTTTTTTTTTATATAATCGTTCAAAAAAAAATAATGATGTCGATTTTAATTCTATGATATGCATGTACACCTTGTTCTAACTTACCCAGATTTGTTTTATTATTTTTCAATGATATGACTGTGATAATTTATATAAACAATTCTTCGCCCTGATTTCTTTTTTTTTTATTTCACACCAAACCAGTTTCAATTGTACTTCATGTAAAGAATTTGGATTAAAAAAGAAAAAAGAAAGAAATTTGGCTATTAAAGAAAGTATATCCATTTTTGCATTGGTCAGGTTTTGTGACAGGTAAAACAAATATTAAATTAAAGTTCATTGTACCAATAACTATATACTTGCATTCAAAGTAAGGGAAAATACTTAAGGTATGTCACTCGTCAGCTTTTTAGAAAAGTTCACGCAGATCCTCTTGCTTCAAAACTATGTATAAAAAATCAATATTTATAGCATATTCAAATTCAACAATGTTAATGTTTTCATATTCAACCAAAAAAACAGCTCAAAAAGCTACAAAGAAGCAAGATGTATGATGGACTATTTCTTGTGGTTGAAGGATTTTTAGCGGATAGTTCTGCAAATCTTCACATTTATCAATTTTAATATCTTCGAACTTTAGCCTAACACAATTTTACTTGAAAAATACTTTCCATTATGATATTGCTATAGGGACTTTTAATATAGGTCTTAATTAATATTTTTAGAACACATTTTACACCCTCCTTCAACAAAATGAGGATATGTCAAATAAGTCTAGATACCATTTTTCGACTGAAAATCACATATTTTGACCAATTTTTTAAAATTAACATCACAGACACCAACTTCTTTCTTTCATTTGTGACTGATTAGCACAAAAGTCGTAAAAAAGCTTGATTTAATAAAAGGTTGTATTACCTTTTCAGTTTTTTAATACCCCAAGTATGTAACTTTTCAGTGCAAAAAGGTCACACAATAATTTACGCGCATTTATTTGATCAATCATAAATATCATTCACACTATTTTACGTAAACATATTATATTTATTGCAATGGAAACATCTGATAAAATATAGTAAAGGTTAAAGTAATTTACCAAAGAGTTAAAGTTTACGTGCAAAAAGGTCAACTTAATTGTACCTGTAGATTAGTAAGATGCACATTGACCCAATATTTTCTACGCGATTTTGATCACACACACTATATGAGTACTTATCCAAAATATACTTTTCAAAAAATAAATTTTAGCAAACTGGTCCTTACTTAACTATATATCAAGAAAGGTGTATGAACTAGAAAAAGCGGACATAAGGAAAAAATATGACGTTGTCGGACATTATAAAACTAAACACAGACATCTAGCACGGAATAATCAAATAATGATCTTTTTATTTTAGAATAATTTGGTAAAATATCAACATATCAAGCTAAAATTGTAAACATTTCATACGTACATACTGCATGGTAAATGCCTTTTGTTTTAAATTAAAATTTTAAAATTTAAATTAAATTTAAATCCAAACTCTCGATATTAACCTTTTGAAAATTTGAAGCTTATACAAAATGGCGTCTTTCTCTGTCAGCTCCAACATTTAGCGCGAAGAGGGTTATGTAGTCATCTGAGCGTTTGGTTGAACGAAACTAACTTGTTGCAATAAAATTCTGATATGTGTTGTATGCTGATGTCCTAAAGAACAATCTTTTTTATTCCCTAGTTTGAATGAAACAGAGGAATTTTTGTTAATAAACTAATGTATTATCATATGCTGATTTTTTTGTCAAATACACATAAGTATGTTACAGTACATGCAACAAGAAATTCAAAGGTTAGATACCCTTATTCAAGAAAATCACAAAAATTTTGCGTCCAATTCTAAATATCAGAGCCTTACTGAAACAACTCATCAACAAACACGTGCTGAACCTGATGTTGTCATTGTTTAGCAGGCACCAATTGTGACTAAGAATCAAACTGTTTTCAAAATGACAACGGTGTCGACCTATGTTACAGATACGAATCTCACTCTAGGAAACAATTTGTTAATGGATTTTGAAGACAAAGGCTTCTAAGATTGATTGGTTGTATACTGTTTAACGTACCTCTCTAGAATATTTCACTAATATGGAGACGTCATCATTTCCGGTGAAGGGCTTCAAATTTAGGCCTATGCTCGGCACTCAGGGCCATTGAGCAGTGAGGGATCTTTATCGTGCCACACCTCATTTAGTCGCCTTTTACGACAAGCAAGGCGTTACTGAGGACGTATCCTAACCCGGATCCCCACGGGGCAGGTTTCTAAGAAATTAAGTCATTAATTGGATTGATTGTTGTATTTAAAGAAGGGAGTTGTTTAAAAATATATTTGATCTGTTACCTACTAAAAGAAAGCTGGGGAAAAGACGTGTCCTTCGTTAAGCAATTCGATATAAAGATTGCCAACTTACAGACAGAAAATTTAAAAAGTTGAATGTAACATTTGCATAATTATTATATCCCTAAAATATCGTTAACTTTGAACATTGAATATAAAAAAAAAATGGCTAAAATTCTATATCCTTTCTTTTATAGATGTTATTCAAATAGTTCGCAAACTTTTCATTCATATATTAAAATTAACGCCATTAAAACCCTATATTGTTTCTGTTATAGCTGATGTTCAATTAGTTCGCAAACATTTCTATCACCCCTCGTGTATGTAAGAAAAAAAATCTGAAAAATCAATGGGTCAGAAAAGCTTACACTTATGTGAAAAGTTCCTGAGAAAATATACATTCAAAATGCTTAGAACATGCACCTTCGAAAGAACGGATTATTAATTGTTCAGGGCATGACTCTGAAGGGTAAGGTGGGGTAATAGGATGTTATTTAAACAACCCCTTTTCTAAAATGCAGAAAAGCCTTGAGTCGTGGTTATTTTAAGGAATCTTCTGCTGCCGTTGATTTCTTTTTTTTTTTAAATCAAATCCAAACTTCTTAGTTGGAGATGGTTTTAATATCCCTTATAGGACTATGGATTTTTGAGAAAATACATGTATCTGATACAGAGCTGCATCGTCGAAGTTTTTGAAATGAGCGTTGTCGCTGATAGAATTATTGATCTTCAGTTTCAACCCCATTACTTTCTTCAAATTACTCGGCAAAAACGTTCATTTCGACAAGCTAAAGCTAAAGATAATTTGCTAAAAGGGTATATATGTACATATTTTATTGGGTATTTTTTTGTAACGGGTAGTCACAAGAAGCCTTTGTGTGATACAAGCATACTCAAAATCCCAAATAGGACATAATCTTTTACCGGTATCATTCTCGCAAATGCATTCTCACTGGGCAAAAAAAAATCTTGTTCAGGTTAGATTTTGGAAGTTCTTAATTCGTCTTGAAATTGCGAAAAATCTAATGGTTTTACATGGCCATGATCTAGCTCATTTATCTCACTCCGGCAAGTTAAGAAACTTTGGGTGTCACTTTTTCATCAAGGTCTTATAATTGAAGAAATTGAATGTAATGAATTAAAGTACAACAGGAATTGAATCATGTTTCTTCGCTCAGAATAATCACATTTCAACCATCCATTGGCTCTTGGTTGGTTCCATCCTCACAACTCTTTGCAGTTACCCCAGTGGGGTGGTTTTCTTTTTCCTGATTATTCAAAGTGGATTCCTTTTCATCATCAATTTTAAAGACAGATTTCCCTTTGACGTCTGGGAGAGGTCTTTTAGTATATCGTGGGTTTGGTGTGTGGTTTGCAAGTAATGATAGACTATTGTTGCTCATTACGTTCTTATCAGGAATTTCTGCATATACATCTGCTTGTGAATGCGTAGGTTGTACTAACTGCGATGTTCTTTTCTTGCGGCAGTGAAGGAAAATGAGTACAGAGACAATGCAAATCAGGATTGATGACACAATAAATATGATCGTCGAAGGCTGTTTCAGGACATCTTTATCTACAAAGCAAAGTGAACTATTTCTCATATAAATGATAATTTATGATTGCATAAAAAATATTGAGAACCATTAAATTTCAATTGCATCCCAAAGTTATCAAATATTAAAGAGGTTAAGTAGCTAGAGAGGAAACCATCTGACTTTTAGCAAATATACACAACGTAAAGTGTGTTCATTCCTCTCTCTATGTAGTATACTGTTCTATATCATGCTTTTTATTTTCAGCACATATACACAGGTCAGGAGGTGTTGCACATCAAGATCATTAGGAAATTATTGTTCCTTATGCTTAATTTATTTTTCATAAATAAAGCCTACTTGCGCATATAAGGAAAAAACATGTTTTTTTTTCTTTTTACATTAAATCATATTTATGATATAAAAGATATACATGAAAATCTTTTTTATATATAATAATATTACATATTTATATTTAATAATTATATTGCATAGAACTAAGTAATATTCATATGTTATAAAACAAAATGGTATTAATACTCTTGAATCATATTCCTTTTCAAATATCTTTGCAAAGAAGAAATTCTATTTAGTACTATTAAATCAAGTATCATAGTCATAAAAATCTTACATAAACATGTATGTTTGTTATATATAATGATTTTCGTGGATACGTTCTGGCTAACACACTGTTAACCATCATTCAATGAAGCTTGCTCAGAACAAGAGCGGATTTTAACACGTGTTTTGGTTCCATTGTTACAAGAAGAAGAACACTGACTTCAGTCTTCAAGTGCAACATACCGTATTCGTGGAAATTATAACGAGACGCAAATTTAGCGATTTGGCCTAAAAATGTTGTTTTCAATTTTTTAGCGAGATGTAATTTAAGAGATTTTAAAATGCACAAAATAAGCTTTTATATATAATTCGCAATTAATTTTTAGCGATATTCAATTTTTGCGATCTCAGCACATTCGCTTATAATGCCAAAATTAAATCCTCGCTAAAAATTCTGCTTATACGGTATAACGTCCACTGACCATTGACTGTACGATATTTTCAAATTTGCAGTGATAAAAGGTTGTTTTCAAAAGTTTTATCAATCGATAATTATCAAGAGTCTTTCAGACAAGCACTATGAGAACTATAAAGCAAAGTAAGATTTTTTTTAACAACAATCGAATTAGAAATAAGCCGAATTGTAAAGCTTATTTCAAAACATTCGGAATTCATTTATATATAGGCATTGATATTTTTTTTTTATTTATTATGTTAAATATCTTCAAGAAAAAATAAAATCACAGGAAAAAAATGAGGATGCAGCATAGCAG